GGTACTTTAAAAGGAGCGGGACGCTGTGGACATTGGAGGTGAGGTAGCTCTGTGACTCAGCAGGCGCGCTCCTTGTGAATTGAGTGTTGCCTTCCAATGAGCTTTGGTGTCTGTCACGGAGTAGAACTTCTGCTTTCTTGTGTAATGCTGTTCACTTTTTTCAATATGAGGGTCTCTGCCTTTGATGTCGTGTCCAATAAAGCTTCTCTAAGACGTGCAGGACACTCCTGGGCACCCTTGGACAGGGCCCCCGAGGACTTGGTTCTGGTTCAAGTCGTGGTTTCCCTGACAGTGGCTTGTTTCAGTGTACAGATTGTGGGACACATGCCTGGAGTGACTGCAGGGAGGCCAGGGGTATGCACATCTGGGTGCATGAGGGTGGAGGCTGGCCAGTGGGGATACCTCCCAGCACGTGAGGAAGGAGGCGCCACTGCACATGGGGCTCTGGTCTGAAGGAGAAGGCTCTCCGGTGTTGCCACTGCTGCTGCTGTGCCTGGGGACTCTCCATGGCCCCAGGGCCCCAGGGCCCGTGCAGTGCTCTTGACGACAGCTCTGGGCTCAGGGAGCTTGGGTCCTAGGAGGAAAGTCCCTAAGGACAGGCTGGTTGGAAGCTATCCTCATGATGAACGTACCATGGACCAGTCTGGAAACTGGCTCCTTCCTTACCTTGGCTGGCATCAGGGCTCAGGGCCCCGCCCCAGCTCAGACATCTTTTTACCAAGGTGCACCTTCCAGGGTATTCCTGTCCTGGAGTCTGCTGCTGAGGGATCCGCAGGAAGCCTTGGAGACACAGGCAGGCATGTGAGAGTAGAGGGAAGGCTTTGGCAGAGGATCTCGCTTTTCTTAGGACTGGGAAAAGGCCTGCAAATGGACACTGACCGTGTGGCCTTTGGCTGAGCCAACCCCACAGGCGGCTTGTCCTGCAGCAGCCCACCCCATGGAGTACGTCCTATTTGTGCTGTACTTCTCTTTCTTCCTCTGCCTCTGTGCCCTGGTGTGCCTGTACTTCTCTGGCTGCCAGGAAATGACATATAAGCATGAAGGTAAGCAACTGGCTGCAGGTGAGGAGGGGAGCCTCCATGACAGTCCCCAGCTATGCCCTGAATCCCCACATGTTCCAGGCTGTTCTGTGGGAGAGGACAGGAGGAGGAGGAGAGAGGGGCTGGATCCTGTGGAGAGGCTGTCCATCATAGGCCCCTTTGCCTCACCCTGGCCCATTACATCTGCTAAGTGTGAGCACCTGTGTGTTCGGTAGTCAGGGAGAAGAAGGGTCAGCTTTGCAGTCACTTTTGCTATGGCTACACTTTAAAGCCTGGGTTAGTTTGTGGAAAGGGCTCAGCCAGGCATGCCTTTGGTTGTAAGGAGAGTGGAAGGGTAGAGGGGTGAGCCCTTTGGATACAGCATGTGCATGCAGACTGAGCAATGGGGGTCTGTCCTGAAGCATTTGAGGAAGTGCTGAGGAGATTTTAGAATAATCAAGATGCAGAAAACATGATGGTCTCTGTCTTGGCCTTTAGAATATTTGTTTGTTTATTTGATACCAGGGATTGAACCCAGAAAGCTTAATCACTGAGCCACATCTCCAGTTTTTTTTGTTTTTTGTTTTTAAATTAGAGACAGGGTCTCACTAAGTTGCTAAGGGCCTTGCTAAATTGCTGAGACTGGCTTTGAACTTGCAATCCTCCTGCCTCAGCCTCCTGAGTTGCTGGGATTATAGGTGTGGCCACCATACCCTGCTTTGGCCGTTTGGTTAAGGCCCACTCTGCCAGGCATGTGAGGAGGCAGTGTCTTTGGGGGTCACCTTGGCCCCTCAGGAAGCAGGCATTGCATTATTTCCTATATATTTGGGAAAATATCATAAAACGAGTTGCACAATCTTCAGAGATGACGACCCCTTTGTTCCCTTCTCACTTGAGGGTGTCTTTCTCTCTGTGTTGGGAGTGGCACAGACAGACGTGATGCAGCCAGGCTTCCTGCCATGTGGACACGTAGGGAAAGCAGACAGACCACCCAGCAGGGGCAGGACCCAGCCTCTCTCCTCTGGAAACTGTGTGGACCACAGTGTCCCAGGCTTGTCTCGCTGTCTCAGGGTCACAGGGACTGACCATGAGTGCTGGGGCTCCGGCTTCCTCAGGGCAGCAGTTCTGTGAGACTTGGTCTCTGGGCACAGTTACGTGGGCCCCGCTTGGGTCTGCAGCTGGGCTGTGTGCGAGGGCAGCTCCAGCTGAGCTGGGTCAGCGGCAGCAGTAGGTCTCACCCTGTTAGCAGGCCGTGGTAGGGAGCTCCTAACCAGCAGTCCCACAGGCTTCTAGGAGCAGATCTTCCTGGGGAGAGCCCACGGCCAGCCACAGTACCAGCAGTGGACAGTCACCACGGGCACTGTGTCCTAGCGTGTGGAATGCGCGGTTTGACACTTCCTAGGCCCTCCCTGTACACGTCCCCTGCCAGCACAACCACAAACAGCTATCCCTGGAGGCCTGGCAATTAGTCTTGTTTACAAGAAATGAGCCAGCCAGTGCTGTYCAGAGAATGGCAGAGCCTGGGGCTCGGGGCCAGGCATGTGTGGAGATGGTTTTGAGTGCCGCATAGGTGTCACTRCAGTAGGTACCATCATCACCATCGGTTGTCACTGCCACCTCTGTCCAGAAGATTGGGGGAGTTTCTGACGCTGCAGTCAGGCATGGCTGTCTGCGGGCTATCCTTGGAGAAGAATGCCATTGGGAGTTGGTGGAGCCTGATGGGCTTCCCTCCTACCTGTTGGGTCACTTGGAGGTGGAACCGGGTGGCGTCCTGGCTGGTGCTAGCTGCCTGAAGAATGAGAAGAGTAAGGGAGCTCTTAACACAGAACCATCTGTGGATAAACAAGCTCTTTCGGCTTTGAGTGCATTAACAGAGATGTGCTGAGCGTGCTCATTGAACAAGCACTGTTTCCTGTGAGGGGGCTTGGACTGAAGCCGGACAGAGAGCTCCATCCTTGCTTCACGGAGCTTCCATGCTAGAGGGGGAAGCAAAGAAACGAATGCACAGGCAAAGTCCATCTTATAACAGATGGTACTGGTGTAGGGAAACAGGCAGGGGCAGGAGGCTGGGCGAGGTGGCCGGTAGGGATGTGGAGCTGGTGGTCAGGGAGGGCTCCTGATGTGGTGGTTTGTGCCAAAGAGCCAGAGTTAAAGGTGGAGTGAGAGCCACGTGGACTCTGGGGAGACTGTCTTGGCCACACAGGCCCTGTGGTAGGCCTGTGCATAGTGCAGGAGAGCGCTGGCAGGGTTGGGCAGAACAGTGGAAGAGAGAGGAGGACAAAGCACATCACGCAGGTCACCTGTACCATCATGGGGATGTTGGTCTTACTCAGTATGATGGAGCACCGAGGGGTTTCTGAGCACAAGACCAATGCGGCACACCTTCGTTCCGTGATAGTCACTCTGCCTGCTAGGTTGAGGCACAAGTGCAGAAAGAAGCAAGGAGGCCATGGAAGAGTCTTCTTTCCATGAGAGGTGACAGGGGCTTGGGCCAAGATGGAGGTGCTGGCAGATAGAGGGGGTGAGAGATGGGATGCCTGGTTGAAGGCACCCAAGGGCTTCTCCCTAAGAGCAGACAGACGCAGGGGCGCGGGAGGAGCTGAGGAGCCCTCTGGGCTCGGGACTGAGCAACCAAAAGATGACTACTGCTGCTGCTGAACCCAGGTGAGAGGTGGCAGGAGCAGGCACAGGGAGCCCATCAGTCACCCACCAAGACCTGCGCGTTCTCGAGGGCACAGCCAGGGGACAGGTCTGGTGTCCAGGAGGCAGGTACGCCCACACAGTTACAAACTGAGAACAGGATGTGGGTGAAGGTGCTGTGCAGAAAGACCCTCACCCAGTGCAGGAGCACTCTGGTGGCCTGTGGTGGGCCCTCCGCAGAGCACTGCAGACGCCTGCTCCCTGGGTGCAGAGCCGTCCTCCTGCCTGCTCCCTGGGTGCAGAGCCGTCCTCCTGCCCCCTCCGCTGCCGTCTGCACTGTCTCCTATGGCGTTAGTAGTCGCCATCACTTGGCTTCCCCGTGGGAGCACATGTGCTTGCACAGTGTCGACCGAAGCCCGCAGTGGGCAGCACCCTGAGTTGGGTGCCCTGCCCCAACTGTGGCTCCCAGGAGGTTGTGTCCAGAGGAGCCTGGGGCTTGGCTCAGATGCAGTTACAGTTTCTTCTTCAAGTTCATGAAAAGTGTTCATTGATTGCAAAAGCAAATCAAAGTTCTTCTCAGGCTATGTGGGAGTAGAAAGCAGTGTCCCTATGATGGATGTGCATCAGGGGATGGCTGCTTGGTGTCTGCAGACTGATGCTCCTGGTGGCAGGGCCTTCACTTGATTGTGGACATGAATCCTTGGGCCTGACGTATCTGACGTATCTGGCCCAGGGAGCTGCTCAGCCTACCTTTGCTGAGTGGATAAACCAGGCTCCATGCCCTGTGCTGTTAGGAGTGGGGAGAGGGCAGTGGGCAGGGAAAATAGAGGCTGCACACAGAGCCCTACACCACCTGAGTTTGTGTGACGATGCATGGGGCCCTCACACTGTCCTGACTCTGTAAATGTTCCGAGTTCTCTGCAACAGTTAAGGAAAATGGCCTGTCAGCGCAGCCTGGGGACGGCTGGCTGGGCACTGCCCCACCTGGGCCTGCTGCTGGTGTTGCCACATGCTTGTCTCTTGGACCAGACCTCTCTGTGGTCCACCCCCCACAGAGCACCACAACATGGTGTTGCTGAGTGTCCTGGAGGCCAGGCTCCTCTCGGGGCACAGGGAGTGGGTTCTCTTCCACTTGACAGAAGGAACTGGGACTCAGAGAGGTTTTATGGAAGGTCAGCATCGCAACAGCCTGGCACCCTCTTTCCTACCTTGTCAGCAATGAAGCCCATCAGCCACACCTGGAATTCTCCACTGGCCCAGATGCACTGGGGTGACAATGGGACCAGGAGGGGGTGACTCTCCATCTGTTCCTTCTAACTTTGTATAAATTGTCTCTTGCAGAAGCATGTTGTGGAGACATTTTTTGGATTTGATGAGGAGTCTGTGGACTCAGAAACGCTGTCAGAGACCTCCTACAACACAGACAGGACGGACAGGACCCCAGCCACTCCCGAGGAGGACTTGGATGACGTAAGCAAGCAGCAGCGGCTCCTGCAGGACTTCCCACCTTGACGCTCTCTGGGCCACTCCCTCGCCTGGAGCTTAAGTCCCAGATGAGGGAGGTTCACTTTGTGTTATCAAAGCCCCAGGACCAAGGGAAGGAGGTCCCCACTGTCCTTGAGGGGCCACCTGCACCAGTGGCTGTGGGGCTGCCCTTCCTTTCCCCAGTGCTGATCTCACCCAGGAATCTGTGGCTGCCAGGGCTCAGCTACACTGTGCCCATGTCGCCCTGGTGTGCTCCCCTTTGTAGTTAAAATTGCTATGTGATGTCCTGTCCCCCTACCACATGCTCCCCCTTCCCCACCTCAGGAAGCAGTGGCCTCGCCTTTGGGACAGAAAAGCAACCCCTGAACTCCCCAGGGTGTGAAGGGAGTGGAAACCACTGAAGTCCCCACCCAGTCGCCCGCGCCCTTCTGACCACCTGTGCCCGCGCAGGTCCATGGCTTCCCTGCAGAGCCCCCCGGCCCGCAGCTGAACCCCCTCAGGAGAGCTGCGCAGTCTTGCAGACCCCGTGGGTTCTGGGCCTTCAGTGACAGGAGTCGTCGTGTCCAGCAGTGCTCCTCAGTCCAGCATGGGCTTCCCTGCCCCGCTGGCCAAGCCCTCTTCCATCTCTCCTCCCTGCAACTTCTGTTGGCTTTTGTCCCAAGCTTGGGCTGGAAACCTGGGGAAGGAGGGTTTGGGCAGCCACAGCGGGCAGCTGGCCCCTGAAGCAGTGCCCTCTGGCTGGGGCAGGTGGCTGCTGCTTCTCTCATGGCAACTTCCCTGAGTTTTCAAAGTCCCTCTTGCTGGAACTGCCCCTGTGCAGCATGGGCATTGCCCCTCCTGGCACCTCAAACCCCAGACTCTGGGCAGCTGTCTCCCACAGAGTCCTAGGCAGGGTCCTTTTCCCTCCTGGTGGCCTTTTCTGTGGAGTCCCTTCTGTTACGACTTCCAGGCTCACTTCCACCGTGGGTCCATGTGGCCACAGGAAAACTTGCTGTGAGCTGTGGGAACTGGCACATCTGCCCCCAGGGAGGCCCTCCTCTTTGTTCTGCCACTTTGTACCAAAACTTCAGAAGATATGTGTCACCTCTCCAAGTGACGCCCCTTCTCTTGCTGGGAAGAAGACGCAGTCCTCCGCATTAGCTCACCAGCCTCAGCTGCAAGTGCTGGCCGTGATTCGGGGGTTGGGGCTGGCTGTGCTGGAGACACTGTGGTTTGTGGCTGTGTCCTGCTTGGGTGTCTGGGTGGCTTTGTTTTGGGCCAGGTGCCTTTGTCCTAATGCTGAGTCTCATTTTTTACATCCTGCCGCATTAACTTAAACAGCAGTAGCCAGACACGGCCTTTGTGACTGGCTTTTTCCAACCAGTGATAGTGACAGACCTCTTTCAGCAATAAAATATGTGACTGTATCACCCATCTCGTGGCCCATGGGCCTTGCATGTGGGTGCACATCCAGTGTTTAGCAGGCTCTGACTATGGCACCGTGTGGTTTCAGTCCTGCACAGCTGCAAGCCACACTCCGACGCTCCCTGGGTATCTGCATCTTTGCATGTTCACCCAGGAGGGTGGGCCAGAGGAGGTGCCCTCCAGGTGTGAGTGGCCTGCTCTGTGCTTGGTACCCTTGCCCTTCCGACCTGCTCGTATACGACTGGTTCCCAAGGCCAGGGAGCTCCTGGAAAGGGCACTGATGGTAGAGAAGGCATCTCCCTGCAGCCCTCCACCCTGGGGTCCTAACTACTTCCTGGCAGTGACAGCTCTGAGCACCCCTGGGCAGAAGCTGTGAGATCTGGCTTGGATTTTGTCTGGTGCTCAGAGTTACATTAAGTCACACGTTGAGTAGTTTTTCTTCTCCGTTGTGTTAAGACCACGACCAGAGAAGAGGCTGACCTACGGTTCTGCCAGCTGACCCGGGAGTACCAGGCCCTGCAGCGGGCCTATGCCCTGCTTCAGGAGCAGGTGGGGGGCACGCTGGACGCCGAGCGGGAGGCCCGGGTGAGTGCAGCGACCTCAGGCTGACCAAGCGGGGTGGGGCTGGGTCCTGCGTGTCCCTTCCAGTGGAGGAGATTCTGGGGTGATGGGCATCCGTGACCAGGTCTCACGTGGAGGTGTTCCTCAGTGAGGCTGCAGGACCTCAGGAGCCTCGAGTGGCCAGACGTGTCCTATCTGCATGACAGCTCCTCCATGCACAGCAGAGTGCTTTTTTTAGACCAGAGACAAGGCCACAGACTTGGCTAGCCCTGTAGTCTGCAGGCCAAGGACCCCAGCACATCCCTGAGGAGCACTGTGGGAGCTCCCCAGCCCACAGGCACAAGGGCCATGGGCCACCTCAGTCCAGGCCATGTGTCCCTCTTCCAGAAACTTCCTCCCCTTGGCCCTTCTGCCACCTTGGAGTCCCATAGATCAAGATTTGTTTGCCCTTTAAAGAGTAAGGGGGACACCTAGAGAGCCCACGCCAGGGCCCCGTTTCACTCCCTCAGTGGCCTGAAGCAATCCACGCTGTCTTCTGACTGAGGAAGCTGAGGCTTAGAAAATTCAAAGGTACCCAGAAGATCCCTGGCAGAGCTCAGGGGTGCGGCCAGGCTTCTCAGGCTCAGAGTATGCTCTGAGCACTTTTTGGGAGTCCCAGGCAGGTGGCTGTGGGCCATCTTATGGGGACTTGCCAAAATTGGGTGTTATCTGGCAGGCCTCTTGTGGATGGCAGCTGCTGGTAGGAGCAGCCACTTCAAAATGGGGCCAGGGCATTTGGGGAGGAGCAGTGGCCCTCTGGGGAGGGGTGAGAGCAGGAGTGAGGGCAGTGAGGTCGCTGGGGAGGGGAGCTCTTGGGCCACGATAGGGCTCAGTCCTTCTCCCCTAGGTCAGAGCAGGTGGACTGCAGGGCTTTATTTGAGCGGAATTGTTAGTGTTTTCTAATGTCAACTACTTCAAATTGTGGAGATTTCAGAGAGAAGTCCAGATTCCCGACATCTCTTGAAAGACAGTTTGTGCTGCAGTACCAGGCTCCCATCCCACAGGGCACTGGACTCCAGCTGAGGGGCAGTCTCTCTGGGGCTGGGGGTCACATCCTCCAGTTTGCCACAGTCCCCACCATTCCTTCTTGCCCCAGTCAGCTTCCCATATTTACATGCCTGCCTAGCCCTGCAGACATTGGGGTTTTCAGCCCTTTCTGCAGGTGGCAAAGGGCCCACCTACAACTCAGCAACTCAGCACGTAGGAAAGCCCTGGTGGCTAGTGACTGCTGAAAGGGCAGATGCTGGCCTTGGGCAGAGAGCTGGGGCTGGGACCTGGTGTGCCTGGCTCCCACCTCCTTGTGTGCGAGCTGTTGGAGCTTAGAGCCGCCAGCTCTCAAGACCTTCAGTTCCTCATGGCGCTGGGTTGGCAGCTGGTGTTGGCAGCTGGTGTCGACCCCCAGTGCCACCAGGAGGGCCAAGTTTGAATACGCGCTATTGAACCCAAGCCTGTCCCCAGCTCTGCCTGTATGGCAGCTGGGTTCTACTCCTGTCACCTGTGTGAGGGGACCTGCTCACTTCGTCTTTGATGTTCTAGACTCGGGAGCAGCTGCAGGCTGATCTGCTGAGGTGTCAGGCCAAAATCGAAGACTTGGAGAAGTTGCTGGTTGAGAAAGGACAGGTGAGCAGGCCTGGTCATGTGTTTGTCTTTGTCCCTGTGGCAGTGTCCTCGAGGCCTGCCTGTGTGCTGAGACAGTGTTCTGTGAGCCACATGCAGGCTCCTGGGGGGCGAGATAGAATCCAGCTAGAGTGTGCTGCCGAGTCAAAAGAAGGGAAAAAAAATCAAAGCACATTTTATGGAAGTCTGACTGGCCTTCCCTTYGTTTGTTCGCCAAATGTGCAAAAATAGGAGACAATTCCAAAAGCAGAGTGGGGATCGGAACCCTTTTTGACTTGAGCCTGAAGAAGAGTGGCTGCTGCCTGGGAGGCTCATTGCAAGAGTGAAGGCAGTGGACCCATGAATTTTTGCAGCCCCACCCCCTGCAGGTGTCCCAGCAATGAGGTTCCCTGCTGTGAGGCATTATGGAAAAATGTGGCAGAGTCCTGGGCAGAGTCCTGATGATACCACTTAGCACACTGCTCAGATCAGCATCACCTCCCAGAACCCATTCTCTGCATTAGATTAGGCTGGGCCCGATCCACCGAAGGATACAGAGAGGCAGTATCTGCAGCTGGGGGATTCTGGGGACCCTGAAAAGGCTCAGTGTGGAAACCCTGCCTCTTTGAGAGTGGCATAGGTCCAGAGCTCAGTATGGTGGCTGTGCTGTTAGAAAAGTGCTATTGGGTTTGTAGACAACCAGAACCTCTTTGGGGCTTAATGTGAAGACACTGACTTCCTGCTTGCATCCCTGCCTCCACAATTCTGCCCCACCATACACAGAGGGTCATCTGCTCCATGTGGCTCCTCAGTGATCCAGTAAGGGAGGCCGACATCTTGTAATTGCTCTTTCTAGGACTCCCCTTCACTTGGCAGGAAGAGGCTGTTTACTCTCCGCATAATTCACTGACCCAAACCAGTCATGTGTCCCTGCTGGGTATGTGTGGCCAGTAGGGTGTCTGTGCCACCATCTTCACATGGAAGGGCTAAGGAGGGTCCTGGGTCCTGGTGGGGCCTGGGAAAAGGAAGGCAGGTGTGAACTGGAGGGGTGGTAGAGGTGTAGGGGACCCTAGGAGGAACTCCAGGAGAGGTATAGAGCAGATGGCCAGCTCGGAACAGTCTCCAGTTAGCAGCAGGGCTCTGGGTGTGGCTGAGATTCAAAGTAAGCCATCAGAACTCAGGTATGGCACCAAGCAGACCAGGCAGCAGCCTTTATGAAGGGCTGAGTAGGGGTGTGAGGGCATCTGATGCCCAGGAGTGGATCCAGGGAGTTGTGGTCTCTCCTTCTCCCTGGAGGCATCATGATGGTGCAGAGCATACACCCTGGAGCCAAGTACCAGCTCTGTCAATTACTTGTCACAGGATCTTGGGCAAGTTGCATAATCTCCATGCCTCAGTTTCCTTTTCTTTAAAATGGGCTGATGATACTACTTAACACACTGGGTAAGAGGAAGTAGGGAGACCCAGAAGTCTGACGTTGAGGCTTCCTCAAATTCCTCTCTAACTTTCCACTCACCCCAGTTTCCCTTCTCCAGTCTGAGGTTGTGTGGTGTAATTTGCCTCAGCTCAATGAGGGAGGTGCAGAAGGGCAGAGGCAGCCCAGACACAATGGCAAGTGAGGAGGTCGAGAGAGGGCCAGAACAAAGGAGCACTGAGAGGACCTTCTAATGAGGTCAACTTCCTGCTTGACGAAGGTACTCATGTCCGGACACAAGCGGGGGACCCAATCAGCCAGAGACTCTTGTACTTATACTCCTAGGTGACAGATCTAATATAAAACTAAAATAGATGTGTGGACACAGGGTGCTCCAATCAATAGTGAGGAGTACATGGACAGAGGAGATGCTAAGGAGAGGAGGAAATTCCAGAAACCATAAAAAGAACAGGCCAGAACTCCCCACCAGACTCCTGGCTCCAGGGCCCCTTCTCTCTGGAGAGTCTGTCTCCATTGCTTTTGTAAAAAGCTTGCTGCTTACTTGCTGTCTCTGTGTCCTACCCTTCGCTGAGCAGAGACAATGAACCCAGCGCCCCAGAAGATAGCAAGACATTCTGGCCGACGTTGCCTCCCACCCTGTGGTGTTGGATCTGGTGTTTGTGCTCAGTTCTGCCCTCAGTGCCTGCTGAGAGAAGGGTCCCATTTGGAGGCAAAATGAATTCTCATTCATCAGCCAGTGTTCATCAGAGCTCTTGCACTACTCCAAGCCCTGCACTTGGTGCAGAGGAGAATGTATCAGTTTTCTATTGCTATGTAACAAACCACCCCCAAACTTAGTTATTTGAACAGCAAATGTGTCTTATTCACTTCTAGTTCTGTGGATTGATAGTTTGGGCTGGACTCAGCTGGCTGGTGGTCCTGCTAATCTTGCCTGGGGTCAGTCTTGAGGCTGTAGTGGTTAGGCAGATCTCCTGGGGCTAGAAGGCCTGGGATGGCCTCATTCTCTTCTTGCCATTTGTGTCAGCTGAGGCCTCAGGGAGGAAACCTGACTTTTTTACTTGGTGGCCTGGGAGCAGGAAAAAAGGATAAGCCCCCTGTATGAGTACTTACCAAGCCTCTGCTTATATCACATTTGTCCCAGTAGTCAGGCCATGTCACAGCCAAGTCCAGCTTTAAAATTGAAGAAGTAGGCGCTATATCTTGTTGGGAGGACTGCAAAGTCACATTGCAGAGGGTGTAGCAGAGAGATGGAGGGGAAGCTTCAGCCACCTTCATAAACAACCTGTCATGAACAAGAAGGCAAAGGGACAGCTGACACCACTGTGCCTATGTGAGGGTCAGCGGTGGTGCAGGATGAGCAATGTTAGGTCCAAGGGAACCAGGAGGAGCCAGGGCCTTTTCTGGACATTCCATGGCATGGGATCAGATCCTGGGTTGGGCCTTGGCTTCAAAGCATCCTGGAATACAAGCGCTGGTGGGCCTGGCCTGCTGGGAAGGGACCTCGCCCAGTTCCAGCCCTGCTGCTGACCAGCTGAGAGGCGGGGAGCTGGAGAAGGCTTCCCTTGCCCTCATGTACTCGCCCCTCCATCCCCATGATGCTTGCTGAGTGCCAGCTCTGCCTGGCTGGGGATGCCCCAGCATCAGGACAGACTCCGTGCCCTGTGCTTGCGGCCCACTCAAATGGGAGCTGGCTGGGCAAGTGATGGAAGGACTGTGGACTGGCAAGGCTGTGGGCACGGGCTGGCCTTCAGGTGTGGAGCCGCTCCTTTACCTGGCAGGGTGGACGCGCACCTGTGGGGAGCCACCCAGGGGAGACAGGTCTCACTCCCTGCTGCTGCTCTTTCTTGGGTTAGGGTTAGAGGTAGGATGTGCTCATGCAGGCGTGGTCTTTTCTTGGAAGGTGACCTGCCCCAGTGCAGTGACTCGTTTGTTGCTTTCCTGCAGGATTCCACGTGGGTGGAGGAGAAGCAGCTGCTCATCAGAACAAACCAAGACTTGCTGGAAAAGGTATGCGGCCTGCTTCAGGGTCACAGGCTGAGGCCAGCCTGTGTGAGCCCATTCCATGCTCTGGGTACATTCCAGGGACCAGGGCACCTCGCATGAGAAGAGGCCTCTGCTCTGTCCTCTGTTCTGGGCCTACAGAGCTGACAGAGGAGCCACTCCCAGGTCCCCTGCAGAAGTAGGGAGGGCTGGCCCCAGCTCCCAAATTGGACACCCTGGCTACCTCTGCCATTGCTCTGGGATTCCAGAGGCCCTGGTCATTGAGCAAGCCCTCAGACCACCTGAGCCCAGATCAGCTGACCCTACCGGGAGCTGAGCCTCTGACCTGCCCTCTCTAACCATAGGCCTTGCTGGAGCTCTCCAAGGAGTCTGCATGGGGAGCAGACCAGATGCTTTGGGATTAAGACTGTAGCCTCTCCCTACTTAATTTATTTAGGTACTATGGATTGAACCCAGGGGCACTTAACCAACCCATATTTGCAGCCATTTATTTTCATTTTGAGATAGGGTGTCACTAAGTTGCTTAGAACCTTGCTAAGTTTCTGAGAGTGGCCTTGAACTTGGAATCCTCCTACCTCAGCCTCCCCAGTTGTGGGGATTATAGGCATGTACCACTGGGCATGACTCCCCACCCATTTTAAAAAGTTAATTACGAGTTGTGCCACCATTTCCCTAATATGGGTTTAGAAGAGTTTCATCCCCAAGAAGACTCCCTGCTCAGTTGCAGTCACTCCCAGTCCCACCCCTCATGCCCCTGCACCCACTAGTCTGCTCCATAGGTTTCCTCTCCTGGATGCTACAGGTGAGTGCCATCAGGCCCTTGGTGGGCTTTGCCTTAAACATCTGAGTGCAAGACAGGGTGAGCTGGCCTTTTCCCATGGGAGGCCAGGTCAGCTGCACCCTGCTGCCCACTGCTGTGTGGTGTTTGCTAGCTCACTGCCTCATTTTCTGGAGGCATTTGGGCAGGACAGTCAGTGTCATGGGAGGCAGTCCTGTGTGTCAGGGGAGTTCAGCATTCTTGATTGTGCTTACTAAGTTCTGGGAGCTGCAGAAAACACCCACACAGGTTCCACATGTGCCCCAGAAGAGAGCCCTTGTGTGGACCTCCTTCTTACCAGGAAGAGGGAGGACACGGGGATCAGGGGTGCTACTCTGAGGACTTCCCCAAAGCCCTCACCACGTGTGTTGTCACAGTGGCCCCTCACTGCTGCCAGGCGATGGACTCTGCTGTACCTTCTTGGGCAGAAACAGGCCCAGGACACTTCTGTTGTAACTGGTCTGTGTCTCTGGCTGTCTTGCTTCCCAGACTGCTGTGCTCTGGGGGTGACCACTGCCACACAGGCTTCTTAGGAAGGCTTGGCAGAGAGTCAGAGAGTCAGACAGACAGCCGTGCTCTGCTGCAGCCTGCAGGGCCGTCCAGGTGGGCTAACCCTGGGGGCTTGAGCTGGAAAGACCCCGGGCAGCCTTTGGGAGCAGAAGCCCTGGTGTGGCACTCTTGCTTCCTGCCCCTTGACCTCAGGGCAAGGTCTCCGGGGCTCTTTGCCTCAGCTTCCCCATCATTCATTTGTTCAGCAAATATGTCAGCAGTTTCTGGTCTGCACCTTCCTGGATGCTTGTTGCAAAGTCTGCCCCGTGGCTGTTTCCCTGTCCTCCTCAGGCCACCATTGAGGTGGCCCACGATCAGGGGACCTGGTTTGAGGTGGCAGCTGCTGCTGCCCGTTAATGCACAGCTGTCTTTGCTCTAGATTTACAGGCTGGAAATGGAGGAGAACCAGCTGAAGAGCGAAATGCAAGATGCGAAGGATCAGAACGAGCTGTTAGAGTTCAGAGTGCTAGAGCTCGAAGTAAGAGACTCTCTCTGTTGTAAGCTCTCAAACGGAGCAGACATTCTCTTTGAACCCAAACTGAAATTCATGTAAAGCTCCCTGCCGTTCCCAAGCATGTGTGAAGGGACATGTTAGCGTTTCTCTCCTTCCTTCCTTCCTTCTTTCCTTCTTTCTTTCTTCTTTTTTTTTCTTTTCAATCTGTATGTTCAGAATAATTTCACTGCCTTAACGTGTTCTGGAGAGGGTGCTCGCCGAAGTCTGTGGACCTGTACAGAGCTAATATATTTATTGCCTACGGCTTGTTTTGCACTTAATAAAATAATTTGTTTTTGCAATATTTTGCCTTTTTTATTTGTGTTTCATTGCCATAACTACTTCTTTCCTGCATGCATAGTCACTGGGTCTGCACTGTGCAAACCTGGACAGAAGCACTGTTGCAATTAATAACACACCTTTGTAAATGATCTTGCATGCAGCACATCTCACCTTTTGAAATAGCAGAGTCTGACCCAGCCAGCTGTTGACTCTCTAATGTGTTTAAAGCCAGTTTGGGCCCATTTTCTATTTGCAAGTTAAATACAAGGTAAGTAGAGGCAGGGTAGGAGGATGTGTCTGCAGAGACGGTTAAGAAAAGGAGTTACTTGCTCARATTTTTTCAGTAAATACAGACCCAGGCACCACAGCAATTTGGACTAAAGAAATTATTATTCATAACTCCAAATATGACTCAAAGTGGCTGGAGGGAGATTGAATGCTGCTCACAGGTAGAAATTGTGTTCCTCCAGGAACTCCCCAGTGCACCAAGTGGGACTCAGTAAAAGAATATTGATGGTTTAATTGCTTCCAAGAGAACTCTTGCCTTGGTGTGTTACTGTATTGCCTTGCTCTCACGGTACTTCATAACTCCCTTTTGTTTCTGTTTAAAAGTCATTGGCATCTTAAACATCACTTAAGTTTGTGACAGTTTCTCTGAGCTCTCGTAGTGATGCGGCTCTGCTTCCCCCAGCTGACCCTTGCATGTATGAAACCTCAGTGGAAGTGAGTGCCTCACGGTGTCTGTGGCTTTTCTGATTTTGTTTTCTCCTCCTGCTTGAGTTGAATTCTGTTCGCCTTAGAACTGACCAGCTGGACCTTGTCATGATGGCAAGGCCTGGGCCAAGAGTCCCTCAGCACCAAGTGCTACTGCTACTCACTCTCCCTAGACCTGAGTGTTTTAAAGTGTCAGAAATCAGAAGTCATGTGAGGTCCCATTGGTGCCTCTGCCATTGTTAGAAAACTGCACATGTCCTTGTCAGGAGCCTTCCTTAAAAGAACTCCATAAGGTTTACTAGGATTTCCATCTCCGTCAGAATTCAGAGCCATTGGGAACCACTTTTCTGACTTGTACTCTTATCCATTATGATCTTCTTGGATCACTTTCCTATGGAGACTCCATTTAAATAAGTATTGCAGGTAGAATGGTGTCCAAAGAAGTGAACCATGGTGAATTTTGTTCTTGGCTCCTAGGACTGTTCCAGACCTAGGCTATCTGGGTGGGGCTTCCTGGAAATTCACTGAATTAATAGCCCCTTCGTCTTCCCTTCAGCCTCTCAGAAGCGCGCTGAGACATGCTGCTGACTTTGTGCTTGGTTATTTAGATAGTACCTGCCTCACAAGTTTGCATGGGGTCAGTCGGCACAGTGAGGTGCCTGGCAAAGAGGGACACACCACAGCTGGTAGCTTTTGTTCTTCATTGAAATTTAGTTCAAGTTGAATTTTTAAAGGAGTCCATTGGTTCTGTAGTTAGATTCTGCTAAAATGCCCCAAAGCAAGTTATTATTACCATTCTATAATTTGAATCAAACAAAAGCAGTTTACTTAAGGTGTGATTTGAAAGGGTCTTCTCAGCCTGTGCTGGAGGTCTACAGTCAGCTCTGTGAAGGAAACACATTTGAGACCAGGGTCCTCCGTACCAGTATACTTTGTCCCCATAAGTACACCCAGGCTTGTCCTGGCCTTTCTGAAACTTGTCACTTGGTGTGTGACTAATAAGCCCCTCTTCTGGGAAAATACTTCCTTCATAATTGAGATTTGACAGTAAATCTAAGACTGGGCAGAACTAAGATCATTGGTTGTGTTAGTGTGGGTCAAAAAGAATTGTGAGCAGAGCCAACAGATTATACTGGAAAGAAAGTGAAGGCAGGGCTGGGCCTGACTCTGTCATTCACTAGAAAAGGACCTGGGACTCGGCCTCCCCGAGCTTCCATCTCTGTCTGCAAAAAAAAAAAAAAAAAAAAAAAACCACGTTGGTGTCTGGCTCTCAAGGTTGCATGGGGACCCGTCAGCACACTGAGGTGCCTGGCACAGAATGACACACACCACACCTAGTGGCTTTTGTTGCCCATTGAAATTTGGTGCAGTCGCTTTTATCAAATTTTGTAACTCTGTGACTTCCTGGGTTTCAGTCTTGCAACCAGAAGACTCATGAGACCCTGCTAACCATTTCTTCCTAGCTGAGTGGTAAGAGGTAAGCCAATGTGCAGAGACAGTCTCCCGCCATGGAAGGCGAAGATGTCCCACTCACGGAGGAGGCCTGTGCGGTCTGCGTGTGCGCTGTAGTCGCACCTTTGCCCACCGGAGCGCGTTGGTTTTTGCTGATAACATGGGAAAATGGCAAGTGGTAAATAATCCAATTGAGTTCTGTCTTTAAACCGAATCTTTTCCCCAGGAGAGAGAGCGGAGGTCGCCAGCCTTTAACCTCCAAATCACCACCTTCCCCGAGAACAACAGCAGCGCCCTCCAGCTGTTCTGTCACCAGGAAGGAGTTAAGGTAGCGTGCGTGGGGGGGCCTCCAGCGAGCTGAGGCCACAGGCTCGCTGAGTGCCAGACTGGTGAAGGGGGATTGTATTCTGGGGCCAAGAGCAGAATTTATTGTAATGAGATAGCCCTTGGCCTCCACCCTGTGTTGAAAGGCAGCGAGATCATTTTGGAAGGGTCAGCAGGTGTCACCCTGTTTTCCTCCATGTCTGGGATATGGGCTTACTGCAAACCCCAGCCTGCCACTGCCCGGCTCTAGCCTGGAACCTCTCTGAGCCTCAGTCTCTGGGCAATGAATTCCAGATGGCAGTGCTCCTGCATCGAACTAGAGTGACCATGAAGTTAGATAAAGAACAGACATAAAGTGCTTGGCACAGTGCCTGACACTAGGAAGTACCTTGCAGGTGGCCACCGTGGTGGTAATAATGGCCAGCATTTGCCACATACCTGAAGCCCTGCTAGGGCCTGCGGGCCGTGGCCTTCCGACCCACACATTCCACAGGCCTTTCTCGAAAGTGGTGTTTATTCTGGTGTAAAACTCAGCCAGTAAGTTGCAGCTGCACCTTCTCTCCTCTCTCCCCGAAGGAAAAGCTAGAGGCAGGGCTGGCCCTCTGTAGGCACCAGGAGAGGATGGGCACGGTCCGTCCACACGCAGGGTGTAGCTCTGGGAATTGGTGTGGATGGTCTCTGCTGCTCACACAAAAATGAACGTTGGAAATCTTTTCCAGGATGTGAATGTTTCTGAACTTATGAAGAAACTAGATATCCTTGGCGATAACGGGGTAACTATGAGCAATCCGTTTCCGGTTCGTGTTCTTGTTTTGATCTGGGCGTATTCTGTGTGGCTTTTGTTTTGTTTTAATTTCTCTCTAGTTTTAGAGATCTAATAAGTACAATGTAAGGCTTTTGTATGGCTATGTTCCTGTGTGGGTGGTTGGGTCTGAAGCTGTCAGAAGTGGGATTCCAAAGTGAGGTTGCCCTTACAGCCTGTGAGTAACGAGAGAGAAAAAGCCTAAGGACCAGTACCCAGAGACAAGGTGGGCTCACACAGGTTGCTGAAGTCAGAAAGTGACACTTTGCCTTCCTAAAGATTGGCTTGAATGCGGCACTGATTCTTGAAGTCTTAAATCTTAAAGGCAGTCCCAAGGCAGGTGGCTCCTGTCCCTCTGGGTGGCGACTGTTCACTGTGAAGTCCAGAGGGACAGGAGCTCTCTGCCTTGAATCGCTGACCCCATTAGTGAGTGGGGTTGACCCCTGGGGTACGGCTCAGAGTGGAGCCTGGTGCTGACTGTCTGCCCGTGGATTGGGATCCAGTGTAAAATGCCCTTGCCCATTTTTCTGTTTTAGAATTTGAGAAATGAAGAACAGGTTGCAATAATCCAGGCTGGAACTGTGCTTGCCCTGTGTGAAAAGGTAGACCCAGCGGCATTTCTGTGCTCACACCTTGTCCCAGCACCCAGCACCATACAAGAAACTGTACATTGGTGTCTCGCTTGTTTGGGAGCATGTGTGTTGGTCAGTCTGCTCTGCATGTGCACATGCATGCCTCTTCACGTTCTGATGGAAAGCCATACACCACATGCCCATGGTAGAAAAGGCCAGACTGCAGGAGGGACCGACACCCCATCAAGGAAGCAGTGGGTGATGCGTATGCTGCCTCTGGCTTTCTCCCACTCCCGTTTTCTTAGCTTAGTTGAAATCTTACTTAGCATCCAGCTCTTCATCCTGCTTTACAAGACATTCTAGATGGCTCACAAACATGTATCTCGACAGCTCTGCCTCCTTCTGTCCTATGGTTACACTGTAGAGAACATCCTCTGCCGTCAGCTGCTGGGCTGTCCACTCTACCTCTGTTTGCCATCATGCCCTCAGTGGTGGACACCATTACACATAGTTTTCTGTGCATTTGAGAACTGACCACAGGAGAGACTCTAGAAGTGGAATCCTGAGGCAATTGAAGGGCTCTGGCAATGTCCATGTGGCTTCCAGAGAGGGGCACCAGTGACCCTCCTGTCGATTTCATGCTCAGCGTGGCGTTTTACCACAGAAAAGAACTCTCAATTTCATGGCTAGAAACGTTATGACGTCATCATGTCCTTCTCATTTATCTGGGTGCTAGTGGTAGTGGACGTTTTGATGTGCATTGCCTATTTTGTTCTTCTTTCTTGCGAGTTGTAATTACATTTTGTTTGAGGATTTATTTTCCTCTGGGTTTGTTTGTTCGTTCGTTCATTCATTCATTCATTCATTCATCCAACAAATAAGTCTTTGTTGTAATTGTTTCTCTTACTGACTTGCCTATGTGTTTTACATATTAAAGATATTAACTTTTTGACCTTTTATTTTAAAAAACGCATTCCTGACTTGTCTGCCTTCTACACTGGTTTAGAATGTTTTCAGTGCACACCGCTCAAGGTAGTCCTTCCTGTCTGTGGATCTTATTCCTTCCAAAGCACATGAGTGAAGCTTTAAAATGCTGCTTTCGAGTAGTGTTTTTGGTGAGGCCTTACTGCTCTTAATCCAGATTCTTTCCAGAATCTCTGGAAGGGCATTTAAAATATGGTTTTCTTCCCCAGGTGTTTTTCCATCACCCACACCCCTTCCCCCCAACAAACAAGTAAAGGGCACTAAAGGTTGGTGGCAGACTTAGGCAATGCCTTGCCCCTGGTCACACGGTCGGGAAGGGCGATGCAGGTGTGGAACCTGGCTTTTTCTGGCTCCCATCTCTCCATCTGGATGAGCTTGCTCCCTCCAGGGAACAGGACTGAGGATGGCTCAGGGCCGGCAGGTGGGCTGACTGGAGGCGGATTCCTGGGCTGAGTTGGGCACATTCAGTGCACCCTTGTCAGCAAGACTGAACATGTCCAGCCTCATGTAGCAGGGCTCCATAGAGTAAAGTGCTGGTGAGTCACTGGCTCAGTTCCTTCAACGCTCATTGCAAGATTTACTGAGAAGGTTCTTGCAGGCATGAGGGCTTCGATGGCCCGCATGGGGTGGAGGTACCCTCTGCTAGATGCTGCCTCTGTGAGGCCTTCCTGGCTTGGATCTTGTCCCCCACTTGCCAGCTGCAATCTCCTGGAGATGCAGCATGAGAGTCCTGGTGCCCTGCCGGTTCGTGTCAGGATCCAGGACACCCTACTTAAGCAGAGTCCAGTGTGGCTAAGCCCTAGCACTGGGCTTAGTTCCTAGAGGCACTTGAGCAATGCCTGTGGACTGGTGGACTGGGGTGGCTGGTTCTCAGTGGGGCTAGGGTGGTGGGCGTTGGTGGGCTGCTGTTCCTAACCCTCGGCTGCCTGAAGGCCAAGGCTGCAGAGGTTCAGGGCCTTGCTGGGGCACTAAGTCACTCACTCACCTGAGCCTTCCTGAAAGGCCCCTCTCATACGCTGAGGGATCAGGCGCTCTAGGCCTTGACCTTAGATCTCTGTGTCCTTCTCTCTCAGCCTTTGTCTCACATTAGCATCTCCTGTTGACAGCTGAGGATATGGGCACTCTGACTTCTGACTTTGACCCTTGCCATCCCTTCCCAACTCCCAGCTTAAATATGGTTTTCTTCCCCAGGTGTCTTTCCATCACCCACACTCCTTCCCCCCAGCACACAAGTAAAAGGCACTAAAGGTTGGTGGCAGACTTAGGCAATGCCATCCCTTCCCAACTCCCAGCTTGTACCCTTCTTGCCTCCTCCTGCTTCTTGCTAGCTGCTGCCCCGACCACCAGAACCTTTCCAAGCTTGTCAGCCTTGTGCCTCATTTGGTGCCCTAAATGCCAGAGTAATGCCAGCTCCTCACAGACCCCATCAGGTGTGGCAAAATAGAGGCCTATGGCTGATGTTTATGGGATCCCAACTCTGGTGCTGCCCAGAGCTGCCTAGCTCCCATTTGGGACAGTCCTTAGAGTGCAAACTCCACTGTTTTCTCAGTTCAGGATCCTGGAGACATCAACCAGGCCATTTTTCTGTGAATAAAGGTCAAATTGGTTTGGGAATTACTGTGTATTACTACTTGGGGGAACGTTCAAGAAGATAAACAGGCCCTGGGCAGGGTGGGAGCTGGGTCGGCAGGTCCCCTGAGAAGGCCAGCAGGACAGCTGGGTGACTAGCAATCCAGTTTGCTTGGGACTGAGGTGTGTCCTGGTCCTGGGAACTTCAGTGTTAAAACAGGGACAGCTGGGGGCAAACAGGGACAAATTGGTCACCCTAGAGCTGACATTGCAGAGAAGGTCATAGAGAATGTGGGTCTCTGCAACACCACTGTCAGACAAGACTTGGTCACAAGTGCCAGGCAAGCCCCTTCCTACCAGATACACCTCGTTTAAAAAAAGGTGTTCTTCAGTGCAGTGCTGGGACCCAAACAGACCACAGTCCACTTCAGTTTTCTCTTGGAGGCACATAAGTGCAGTACAGCCTCAACTGGTCAGGAGCAGCATAGGATGGCATCCTCCCTGGGTGTGTGCCCCACTCCTAGCAGCCAGCACTGGGCACAGACTTTAAGGTGCAGGCCAGCGAGCTCCCCAGTCCTGGCCCCATGGCTTACTCAATTTGGCACATGGCACGTGCCCTGCAGAGAGGCTCAGGCATAAGACATTTGTAGGCATGTAGGTCATGCCCAGGTCTGCCTCTTCGCCTTCAATTTCAAAACTGATCAAGAAGTAGACAAAAGACTCAAAAAGATAGAAATAATGAAAAATCTATGTCCCCTCTGCTAACATAAAGGTTAGAGAGTGATGTGTGGGCCTGCAGCCACAGTCCAGCTGTCCAATCACTGAATCTGTCAAAGTCGTGGGACCCTCTCTGGAGAGAGGGGAGGAGATCAGCCCACCAGCTGCAACGGGTCCTGGCCTTGCACCTGAGGAGCCCCAGGAGCTGGCTTTGGACCTGTGACTGCTGGAAGAGGACACCCAGCTCCTTGCAGCACTCAAGTGGCAGGTTTGCCTCCCCTCCCCTGTGAGATCTCTCTGCTGGGGGTTGAGCAGAGCCATGAGCCTGGAGGGTCTCTGAGGTGTCAGCGAGGCTCAGTAAAGATCTGGCGGTACTCTGGTGTATTCCTAATCTCCACGGGCCAGGAATTCAAGGCCAGCTTTCTCTGCCCTCCTGGTACTGGCCCTGTGACTAAAAAGGACCTGTAAAGATTTTCCTTTATAAGCAACATAGGCACCTAATATACATCTATATTTAACAATAACCATTACCTGACAGCGGGCTCTACAGAGTACTCTGAGAGCAGCTTGTGGTAATGATGCAAACAGGAAATGCTCCCCATTTTAGTTCTAGTTTTTTCTGATTGCTTACATTAGGATATTAAATAAGCCCATATCTAGTCTCATGAAGTTGCCGCTCTTGGCAGGGCTTAAGGACTGCTTGGTTGGCCCCCGCTGTGGCTGCTGGCTCCAGGGCCTGCTCAGGGACAAGCTCTGACATTGTTAGGAGAGATCCTAACTGTGCCTGTCCCATCTCCTTCCCTTGTGCAGCCCGCCCACACCCTCCTCCACTTGGTAGATGTTCGTTAGGCACCTGCTGCATGCCAGGCCCTATGCTGGGCAGGGAAATGCAACAGGAGTCAGATGGGGGACCTAGGGGGCAGGGAAGCTGACCACAGCATCTTCCAGGTGAGCTCAAATAAAGAGCACAAGACTCATGACTCAGGAAACAGGGTGGGCTTCCTGGAGGGTTGAGACCAACCTGGGCCAGAAGGCTGGGTAGATGTTAGCTTGGCAAGAGCCTCCTGCTGAGGCTGGGCCTGGGAGAGGGGGGTGTTACAGGCAGTGGGAGCTACCTGAAAGGCTCTGAGGTGAGAAAGACCTTGGCTTGTCCCAAGAGCTAAATGTAGTTTGGGGTGACTAGGGGAGTTTTGAGTGAAGATAGGAGCCTGTGTGAGCCTTGTTTGGACACACCCTGCAGGGCCCTGTAGGGGTTGTCAGGAGTGAGGGGATGTCTGGGAGGACGCTGAGCAGGTGCAGGGAGGTTCCGACAGTTATGTGTGCTTTGGAGAGAAATGCTGGCCAGAGCTCAGGAAGGGCTTAGTGTGTGAGGGTGGTGGGACAGGAGGCTGTGGCCAGGAGGGGGCTGAGCTGTGGGTGGTCCTGGGTGAGGAGTGCAGCAGATGGGTCTTCTTACACAGAAGAGAGGTGCCCAGGGGCCTCCCCTCCAGGGACCTGCTGAGGTCTAGCTGTGAGCCAAGATGCGGGGAGCCGTACATGGGGCACAGGCATGGATCAGAGCTGGATGGAGACTCTTCCGAGTGAACAGAGTGTAGAGGAGGGCAGAGCTGGGGGAAGGCCAAGGGCAGGGCTCCCGCTCAGCACAGCAAAAGTTTAGGAGCCAGAGGTCTGAGGAGGTGCAGCCAGAGAAATTTTCCAAGGAAGCTAAGGGGACCCTCAGAATCAGAAAAGGCATAGTCACCAGGCCTCCGCAGGCTCAAAGGCACTCATTTACGCCTGCCACCAACCTTAGGTACCCCTCTGTGGCTGGGACACCCCACAGTTTTCCCCACAAGTCAATCACCTGGTGTCAGTGACTTCTCCCTCCTAGGTGGGCTCCCCATAAAGACATACCCATGCCTATATCTGTCTGCAAGCTCACTCTCAGCCTAGATCCCAGAGGGAAGCTAGAGAGGTCTCCCACCCCTTACCTGCCATTCAGGTGCCCATCCCACATTCCCAGGAAAGTCAGAGGCTCACCCTGGAACTCACCCACTCTCATGCCCTTGCACACCCGCTGTGTGTATGCCCCCCTCTGCCCAGCCCACATGCCACAGTGCTTGGTGCTGGGGAGGAGGGCAGCGGCCTAGGACTTCTGCAGATAGGCTTGAAATCCTGGTTCCCCACCTGTGTGACCTTGGACAAGGTACTTAACTCAGCCTCCATGCTTGACTTACAACACAGGGTAATGCTGCCTACCTTGGGGCAGTTAGGAGAGGTGACATTCTGCTTCTGTGACACCAGCTGCATGAAGCTCACTTGCTCATCTGCAGATCTCCTGAGTACACACTTGCAGCCTTCTTCATGCCTGTCCACCCATGCCAAGTCCACACTGCCACACCATATGCAGGTCATCTGCACACCTACCGCCACCTTACACATAGGCCCGGCCATGTGTACACAGATGTCCTTTCCACACACACTGGTGTGCGTGGGTATCCCTGACCAGATCCATCCTCAAGCAAACACCTTTCCATGATGCAGAAACAGACCATGAAACCTCAGATATTCAAGGGGTTCCCGTTCTCATTGGGCTGTGCCCCTCCTGTCCCTGCTATTTTCTAGTGGCTGAAGCAGATAGAGGGAACCGAGGCAGCTCTGACCCAGAAGATGCTGGACCTGGAGAAGGAGAAGGTAAAAGACCCAACCAGCTGGGGGAGGGTCCGCTGAGCTGCTCTTGGGGAGGACTTGGCGCGCGTTTCCATGATCATGTACCTGCGTGCATTTCCAAATGTGGCCCCTGCCCTATGGCAGTCCTGAGTCATTATCATCCACCCACTTCCCCTTTCATTCACAATTGCTCACTTAAAACATTTTTGGTGCCTCTGCTACATCCTGGGCTCACAGGCCCACAGGGTCCTAGGTTCCTAGCTCATAGGAGTGCAGCCTGAGGGCTTTAGAGGCAGCTCTGACACCAGGCACTTGGCCCAGTGGCAGTGGAGACAGGCAGCTTGAATCTGTTGGCCTTGAGAGCTTGGGGACCTGGACTTTTTCTTATGGTTCCACTCTACAGCTGGCTGAGCTGAGTGATGAGGGATACCAGGTACAGAGACAGCTTTGCACAGTGCTTGCTACCTGGGGTAGCTGACACATGGCGGGGACAGGATGGTCTTCACAGGAGCAATGGTGGGTGGCAGAGTGATTTTACCTGACCCGGGGAGGTCAGAGAAGGCTTCCCAGGAGACATGGGCCTTGAGTTCTCCAAGAACCATTTGATTATCCAAGTAGAGATGGCAGGTGAAGGAGGGAGGTGGCTGGACTCACTCTGGAACCAGTGTGTGGCAGGGAAGAGCCCTGGGCAGGTGCCAGGAGGCCTGGAGTTGGAGTGCAATTCCTGCCACCAGTGAACTGTGGCAACTAGGACAAAGCACTGCCCTCTGGCCCTGTTTCCTCATCTATAAAATGAAATGGCTGCCAATGATGATGACCTCCAGCCAGGAGCTCTCCATTCTGGACAGATCACACCCGGGGGGAGTCAAGGAACCCAGAGGGTGGGGGAGAAGGTGTGGCAGGGAGAGTCGCCAAGAGGTGGGGACGCAGCCCAGGAGGGAAGGGGGGCTGCTGGGCCACAGCCAGAGGAGCCTGGAAAGACTCCTGAAATCTGGGCTTGGGCACTTGATGGGAGGTGGTGTCCCGCCACCATAGCTAGATGCCCAAGAAGAGGGGAGGCCAGTTCCATGACCGCTGCTGTCCAGAAAGGGCAGCAGACAGCTCTACCCAGCCTCACGTCATGGACTCTTGCTCTGACCTCCCCCTGACAGGCGCCTCCCTCTTTTCAGGACCTGTTCAGCAGGCAGAAGGGCTACCTGGAGGAGGAGCTGGACTACAGGAAGCAAGCCCTCGACCAGGCTTACCTGGTAGGACCGGAAGTGGGTTTGACACTTTGGCTTTTTGGACTGCACATTAGAGGCTGCTTTCTCCTGGGGGGGGTGGTGCTATTTCCTCATTAGGGCCCTTACTGGGGCTGTGGGGAGGGGAGATATCACACCATCTTCACATTGTGACTAGAAAGACCTGCAGGTGGCTGATTTTCCAAATCCATCACAATTTCAAAAATTATCAGTTACCTTGATGGCTTCTTGAGATAAGCTTATTAAATTCTAGTAATCATTTGATATGAACAAAAAGAAACTGATTTTTAAGCTTGCTTTCTTTCTTTATCTTTTTATTTTGTTTGCTTATTTTATGTGGTGCTGAGGATCAAACCCAGTACTTTACATGTGCAAGGCGAGCGCTCTGCCACTGAGCTACAATCTCAGCCCCAAGAAGAAACTGTCTTTTTATGTGTTTGTTTATACTTGAATATTTATTTATGCTTAAAATCCAAAAGTAAGTTTTCCTGTAAATAGGAAAAATAAAATATTCCAAAGGAAGCAGGGACAGAGCAATGAGTTGAGGTCAGATGAGAGCAGAACAAAAGTAGCCAGTTGTAAAGTCCTGTATGACATTGAGTTTGGGTCAAAAAATTGGTTCTGGGCTTCCTGGTGATAAAGGTCCAGTTTGTATGTCCTCACAGCCAAAGCCACACATGTGCTCCTGGCACTGAGAGAATCCTCCTGTGGGGATGRGGATAATGAGAGGACATCCAGGATGTCCCCAGAGTGGAGAGGAGTGGCAGTCTGATGCCACTCCCTTCAGGGAGCACTGCATTGTGCTTAGAAGGCTTGTAGTTAAAATCATTTTACAGAGTGGGCTTGCCCCTGAGAATGCAAACAGCACACCGAAAAACACTGTCCATCCTGGGTCCGGTGAATGGCTCCGGCAGCCTGGGCTTAGTGTAGGTAGATGGGAGACTCTGGAAGCAAACCCAGTACGCCTCCCTGTGACCCTGGGCCCTTCCTGTGGAGACTGAGGAGGGACTCCCAGGCCCCAGCAGGAGCTGCACAGCGACGGGATGGATTCAGCCTCTCAGCTCCTATTTCTGAGCCAGCAAGGGAGGGAATGACAGCGGTGAGCAAAGGGAGACCTTCCTTCCCAGCTGCAGGCCGCCTTGGCCTCTCTCTTTAACTGCTTTGGTCTTCCGTGACTCCATCCAGTCTTGGACCTTTGGTGAACACCCTGGGAGAATCTATCATTTCTGTCCTACTGCATTGCCCCACCCTGACACCTCCAACAGCTCTGAGGACGCTGCCCAGGAGATGCTTTGGAAAATCCAAAGGACCTCTCCAGCCTCCATGTGCAGAAGGACGGACCCAGACTCCAAGAGGAGGAGAAGCAAGCAGCTTGCAAGCTCACGGTTCACAGAACGTGATTTTCAAGGAGCTTCTTGCAGAATGCAGAACTGATGTTTCTCAAAACATGCTTCAGGAACCTCGGACTCCATGCTTCTTTGTCTAAGTGCCCCTTGCAGGAAGGCTCTGGGACCCTGGAGTGCAGTTCTGCAGAGAACTCCTCTCTGCGTGCTGATCCTGCTGTCCTGTAGACACTAAAGCCACACCTGAAATATATCCTGAAGCCTGAAGTGGGCAGGGTGCCCCCAAGGGCTTTTCATCTCATGCCTGGACCCTATCTGATGTGGCCTAGATGAGCTCTAATGGTCAGGGAGGTGGAGCTCTGTGCATTCGGGCTGGAGCGAGGACAGCAGGTGGCAGACGCATGCCTGGCTCCTGTAGCCTTCAGCTTTGTGAGGGTGGAGTGAGGTGGGCCTCTGGACTCAGCAGGGCTGCTTCCTGGAGGCTGGCCGCATGGGGTCTCTTAGGGAGGGCTCAGCCAGCAGACACAGGCGAGCTTCCCCGCCGTGGAGCCCACTGGGGCCTCTGGCTGTGCCATTGGATGGACTCATCCTTCTAATTTCTGAGAGCAAGGATAAGGCCTGTGGCTGGAACCAGTCACTGCCTAAAGGGTCTGAGATCTCACCAGGAAATTGGCCTGCTGCAGCTGGGGAAGGGGATTTGCAGAGCCATAGCTGGTAGTCAAGCTGTTGGGGGCCCCGGTTGACCTTACCATGGTGGTCTCCATGGTGACAGATGGTGCATCTGTACCACCTGAGGTGTCTTTGTAAGAGAAGCAGCTGTCCCTTGGTGGAGTGGGGTAGGGCTTTAGGGAGATCCAAAGGAGGAATTTCTCTCTCCATCCCCAAATGTCCTAACAAGGCAGCTGTGTTTCTAGGTGGCCAGCTGTGGAGCTGATAGAGTAAGGGTCCCCTAAAGGCTAGAACCTGGCCTTTGTCAGGGTCCTCAGCTGGCCACTGGTGTCCATTCACTTTGCTAGCAAAGGGCACCTTGCTCTTCTGAGGTGGAGACGAGGACATCTTCACTGTCTGCTCTGGGTTAGAGTTGTGTTCCTAACACACTTGAAAACCAGATGCCTGCACTGGAGACACCTTGTCCCATGACACCTGTTAGAAGGGGAGGTTTATCCCCAAGGTGAGAAGAGTCAATTGGAAGCCAAAGATGAAATAAAAGCCAGCTGAAGCAAACCCCCCTCTGAATCCCACACTTGAGGGGTTATTTCTTTGGCTTTTTCTTCTTGCCCTTCTCCCCTAGTGCACTGAGGTGGGGCAGCTTGATTGACAGAGTGATTCAGTGGTGCATGCTGGGTGACGACCCACTGCCAGGCTGAGGCCTTGCTGCCCCGGGCCCTGCATGCCCCTTCCCTGCTGAGGCCCCCACTCTGTGTTCATCAGCAGCAGCCCCTGGCCATGACTGTCCACCCCTTAGTGACATCTGTGATTTGGGCTGTGCAGAAAATCCAGGACCTGGAGGCCACGCTGTACAATGCCCTGCAGCAGGAGCCGGGCCGGATGGCCAGCGAGGCGCTGAGCGCTGGCCAGCGTGAGGACCTGCAGGCCGCTGTGGAGAAGGTGCGCCGGCAGATCCTGAGACAGAGCCGCGAGTTTGACAGCCAGATCCTGCGTGAGCGCATGGAGCTGCTGCAGCAGGCACAGCAGGTAGGGCCGTGGCCGCTGCACCCTGCCCGCTGCCCTGCATACCCAGCACTCTAGCCTGGCCGACCCTCAGGGGCGTCTGGTATCCCAGGTACGCTGCTGGACAGCCAGCATGAAGCAGTCCCCCTGGCGTGAGGCCTGTGTGCTCAGGGCCACCCCCCATAGCCTGGCAGGTATCTCCCCTCCCTTGTGACCAGGAAGAGGACAGCAAATTTGAGAGGTGGACCTGGTAGCTGAAGACCTCGGCATATTCTGAGGTTTTGCTGCACTCTGTGGGTTTAGTGTGCTGCTGGCATGGAGCGGGCAGGTCTCAGGGCTCCTGGGTGACAATGCAGGAAGAGCAGCCGCTGGCACCTGGAACCTATCTGGTGGGCCCTTTACCTCGTGGTGCCCCTGGGGGTGGGCCCTAAAATGCCCATTTCCTAGATGAGAAACAGGCTAAGGGAACTCTCATGTGACTGAAGGTCACATACTAGTCAGGGATTCTACCAATAGGAAAGATCTAGATTACCCATGGGGACAGATGCCACAGAGGAGAGGAGAGGAGAGGGAGGACGAGAGAAAGAACATGTGGGCGCGAGAGCGAGGATTGATTTATTTTAAGGAACTGGCTCCGGCCATTGTAGAGGCTGGCAAGTCAAAGTCTGCAGGGCAGGCCGGAAAGCTGGACACCAGGGAAGAGGGAATCCTGGCAGCAGAGGCCTCTGTCCTTGAGCCAAGCTCCCCAGCTGCACTAGTGGTTCTCATCAGCTTGCCTCCGGGTATACTGTTCCCTGGCAGGTGCTGAGGCTTGGCCAGGTCCCCCAGGGCAGCACACAGGTGACTGGTGTTGCTGGGATGCTCACCAGCCACCACTATTCCAGTGTCACCACGTGTAGCAGCAGCAGGACATAGAACCCCAGCCATCCTCAAAGATGCGCAGACTTGGTGTGCACCTGTGTGCTGGGACTGTGTGCAGGGCACTTCCCTTTCAGGATTCCCTGGATTTGGGCACCCAGGTAGGGTTCCTGGGAAGAGGGGGTTTTCCTTATGGCAACCAGGGACACAAGGTGTTGGTGGAAGTGTATTGTGCACCTTCCACGTGCCAGGGCCCCTTTTGGCAGGTGAGTATGGAGGGTGACAGTCTCTGCCTTCCTGGAGAGGGCACTGAGATTCCAGCCAGGGGAACAAGCAGCCCACGGATAGACATGAAGGGTGCTGGACAGCCACAAAGGCAGAGATGCAGGGAGGGGGTGAGCTGGCCTGTTGCCCGCAGAGGGAGCAGCGTGCCCAAAGGCCCTGAGGTGGGGCAGGTTTACTGTGCTCTGTGAGTGCTTTGTGGGTTTTGACAGCCAGAATTTTCAAAGTAGCACACTCTCTCCTGCATGTGTGTATAGGAGCTTTAGGAGAAACCACTAACCTGACATGACAGTTGTCATAAGCTTCAATAAAACTCGGAGGTGTGAGCTGCTGTKTGCAATGCCCAGCCCCTGGTTGGCCTCGGCTAGTCAGGTCTCGCCCCAGTTTAACAGATGGAAAAACAGAGGCCCTCTGGCCGAAACGGCGGGAAGCAGTGGCCTTCCCCTCCCAGCCAGCACAGGTCCATTGCCCCTGTCTCCACCCCAGGTTTATCAGTCATTCCTTACAAGTGTCCATTCTACTCTGATTTGATAGTTTCAAAAATCTGGTCTTTTCAAAAAATAATACTGCAAAACCCATTTATTTTGTTCGAAGGGAAAAAGAGACAAGAATTTCAGACCTGAAATACAGTGATTTTCAGTTTTTCCTCCAGGACACGAAAAATGGTGGCTTAGAAGTACATGTGGAAGCTGGGACGTGGCATAGGGCACGGGTGCCAGGGGCAGAGAGGCTTGGGTCTCCTGTCCCCTTGCAGCATGGCCTGAGATAGCCGCTGGGGTTGCCCGTCATCCTGAGCTGCCTGCACTTGTCTTGCTCCTGTCCCTGCTCACTGCCTGCTCTCTTCACTGTGTCCCCACTAGAACACCAGCTCCCTCAGAATCTGTATGGATCCCTGCTACAACCCAGTGCCTGGCACAAGGCTGGTGCAAACACAATGTCATAGACGCCACACACAATTCAGTACCACTCCCCAGGACGTGACGCCACAGGCGGCACCACAGCACAGGTGCCCAGCACCCCACAGCAGGGGCTGGGCAACACTGGCCATTTAGGCATGGACCCTGGCTCTGGCTGTCTGCTCTGGACAGGATGGGCCCATTTCATCTGGCCATGGACTACACACCTGTCCCATGGAATATAGTCCAAATTGGGTCACTTGTCTGCCTGTCCCCAGCCCCCTGCTGACACGTGCATTTCCAAGCCCTATCAGCTAAGGGAAAGAGGAAGGGAAAGGAACCCCTGATAGCTGACGTGCCTTCCCCAACAGGATTACTGTGCTTTGCCCACGTTTTGCCTGAGCAGGGGTAGAGGTGAAGCCTCAGTGTGGCCTCGCTGTGCCCTGCCCCTCTGGGGTCTCCTAGCGCCTGTTGTCCTGCAGAGAAGTCTGCTGGAACATTATCCAATCGCAGCACCCTCCCCGTGTCTCTGCCCACCCTCCCCAAAGACCCTCAAAAGTCTGGGCCCCTTAGCCTGGCGCTTGGAGCCCCTCCATCTCTCCTGGGCTCCCCTGCTTGCCATCTTGCCGTTTGGCTTTGACTTTCCCAATGCCTGTGTGCTGAGTGCTGTTCCAGGTGCTGGGCTCAGTGGGGACAGAGTCGGCCCCACTGCAGTCCTATCCCAGGGCCTGGGGGAGGCCTGCCACATGGTAAAAGGTTCATGAAAGGTTGTGGGTGGAGCCCACCCCACACCGTGGGCTGCTGACACTTTGCATGGGCCTCATCTCACCCTAGGGTCAGGGGTCACTGCAGACACAACAGAAAAGGGGCCCAGGCTTGGGGCAGTTGGGGCACTCACTCAAGTCCCCCAGCCTATAAGTCAGGGCCCAGAACCCAAGCCAGGCTGAGCTGAGCTCCCTGCTCACTCTCAGATTCTCTTCTGACCCTGCAACACTATGTGGGACTTGTCAGGGGACTGTTGTCACCAGACTGAGGTCACACACCGTACCTTGTGTGGGAGAATCTGAGGTGCCATTCTCAATCACGCATGGAGTACTTCCCAGCACCAGGCTCTGCTGTGATTCATGGACACAGCAGCTCCATTGCCCTCAGTGTACAGATGACCGTCCCATCTTCAGAGGGGTCGAGGTCTTCCTCCCAGCTCCTGCATCAGGAGAGTGTTCTTTGTCTCCTTCAGGCCAGCCTGCTCTGCTTGCCTGTCCCGATTTTCCTGAAATCAAAATGGCATCATTGGGGCTGGAGATGTGGCTCAGCGGTAGCGCGCTCGCCTGGCATGCGTGCGGCCCGGGTTCGATCCCCAGCACCACATACCAACAAAGATGTTGTGTCCGCCGAGCACTAAAAAATAAATAATAAAAAAAAAAATTCTCTCTCTCTCTCTCTCCTCTCTCACTCTCTCTTTAAAAAAAAAAAAAATGGCATCATTGCCCTGTCTACAGCCTTGTCGCTCCCCAGGACACTCCCAGCTCAATGGGCACCTCATCGGGACATCCCATCCCTCCTGGCCTCCTCACATCCCTCACCTAGGACCCCAGCCTCCTGGTACAAGCTGTCCCCTCTTCCTGGGCTTCCTGTCACTAGCAGTGGACCTTCAGAGCCCTGCCAGACTTGATGCCTCCTCTGGGGTCTCAGCCCTCAGCTCCGTCCTTCACCCACCTGCAGGTCTCTCCAGTGTGACCTGAATGTGGCCTTTTCGGGCACTCATGTAAGAGAGCACCCTCCACCTCCACCCTCAGTGCTCCTTGAGTCTCAGTGACGTCATTGCTCGTCTGCTGAACAGTCTCTGTATTCATGTGCTGCTGGTGGCTGAATCCTAACTGGTCTCTAAGCTCTTCAAAGTGGGGACTTTGTCTCCCTGGCACATATTGAGCTATAGTTGCAGAAGAATGCCTATAGTTGTGGTTCTCAAAGTGGGTCCCTGGACTAGCAGTGTTCACATCCCCTGGGATTCACTGCAAATGCACCCCTGAGGGGGGCAGTGACCTGCACCAGCAGACCTCCTGCTGACGCTGACGTGGGTGGGGAACTAGGGCTCTCCAAATGCACAGAGGGCCTCTCTGGGTCTCTGGAGGCCACATGTCTTGTTGACTTAAGTGGCCTTCCTTACCCCTCACAGCCCTCTCAGTGAATGAGGTCTCTGTCTACATCCAGGGCTGACAAGGGCTGTAGCCAGCTGGGCCACTGGTGGGGTTGGCCCACTTGAGATGGTGAAACTCTCTTGATCATACCACAAACTGGAGAAGGTTGTATTTGCCAGACCTTAGGGTCAAGGGGTGATTGAAAAGCCACCTGGGAGGGTGAGTGGCTCACAGGGGCTCAGGAGGTGCAGGACTGAGTGGAGTGACCCCAGTCTGGGCTGTGGGGACAGAGGGCTTCCTGCAACTCAGTGCTGAAGTGAGAAAGTCTCAGCAGACCTGGTACCTAGTGCCAAGTAGGGTTCTGAGGGGTGGCAGGTGCCCAGAGGTGCCCTCTCCACCCTTCTCCTTCCCCAGACTCCAGCTGAACAAATGTTGGACAAATTTGTGATTTGGAGTTACAGCCAATCCATGATCTTTATGAGCCTGCCCCAGGCCCCTGCCTGACTTGGTCCTGTTTTGACTTTTGTAATTTTTTAAATTTAAAAGGTCTGTCTTGGGGGTGCCATTTCCACCAACAGCTGGAATCCATCTGTAGTGACTGGAGTCAGTGGCGTTCCTTTGGGAGCACTGGCTGGAGAGGAGCAGGGTGGTCACAGATGGCACGGGTGCTCAAGGAGCTGCCCACTGCATATTTCACCCTTTGCTGCCTCCACACAGGGCCACCATGAGATGTGAAGGGTAAGGTTTTGAACTGGGACAGTTTACTTTTCATAATGCGTCCTGATCTCTGTTTCAGAGAATACGGGACTTGGAGGACAAACTTGAGCTTCAGAAGCGGCAGCTGAAGGAGCTGGAGGAAAAGGTAGGTGTCAGGGGCTCATGTGTCCTGTGATTCTGCCCCTGAGATGCTTCTGGGAAACTTTAGCTTTCCCTGTGGTTTCATAATGTCCAAAGAATGGGTGTGGCCTCCAGCTTTCCCCTCTCCAGTCCTCCCAAAGCAGCACTTCCAGAGAAATCTGTGCCTCCCTCAAAGGCCCTCTGTCACAGAGGCAAAGTGCTGCCCAAACCTCTGCAGCGTGTGTGTATGTGTGTGTGTGTGTGTGTGTGGTGTCATCCACAGAATCCCTCTGCCGCCTCACGAGGAAGCGTGTGGGAGCACTAACAAACTAACCTCTTTCGTCTGGAATAAACCGGGTTAGACTGTGACAGGGCTGTCCTGTCCCCACCACAGACATGGGCCGTCATCCCTGTATTCACTCATGTTAAACGCTTTCCATAGACCAAAAGTCAGGCGTGTGTTTCTCCCTCCAGGGGGAAGGAGACTGGTCTCTTGCTGACCAGCGGTGTTTCCCACTCAGCCCCACTGGTCCCTGTGTACTTAGGGCTGTCTTATGGGTGAGGAAACCCAGGTTGAAGTGAATTGGGAAGCTGGTCCTTGGTTCCAGGTGGGAAGGGGCAGCTGGGGTCTTCCCAGATGTTGTGATCACTCCACTTGCACCCAAATCACTCCATTGATCCTGGTGGACACATGGGACTTGTGGGGGACCACACAGGCAAAGCTGCTTGTGGGGGCATTTGCCACTTCCCATGTACCCACCTGGTAGCCATGGATCACTTGAGGACAGGGACCAAGTTCTATTCATTCTTCATCCAAGACAGGGAGTAGGGCATCCTCTGGTGCTTGTGGGATGAGGAAAGGAATGGCCACACGTGAGCGCAGAGTAAGGCCTCAGTGGCATAGCTAACGTGGTAGAGGTGCAGGGACAGGATGCAGGGCTCCTGCCTCTGCCTGGCCAGGGGCGGGGGAGACTGAGGCTGGTAGGCCTGAGGAGGCCATTCCCTCTTAAAGGCAATGGGAAAAAGGCCCACGGAGGAAGAGGGAGAAAGGCATTTCTGGGCCTACGCCTGTCTTGTGAGAGAACATTAACCCCCAGGAACAACCAGGGCCGTCATTGGGCGTCACTGGAAGCAGGATGTCCAGAAGGGGGCGGCAGCCCTGCCTAGCACTGTGGGCAGGAAAGACAGGACCGCTTGAGGTCATAGCCCTGCTGCCTAGAGCACAGGGCCTGGCTGGCTGTGCAGCCAGTGGAGTCCTCAAGGGGGCAGGAGGGAGGCAGGGATCGGTGCTGGAGCCCTTCTGGGAAGGCGTCCACTGCCGATTCCTAGAGCCCCCATGGCAGGCGCCCACTCCTGTCCAGCCTCCTGAGAGGATCTCAGGATAATTCCCTTGGAGATTTCCTGGGGTGAGCTGGCTTTGTAGGCCACTGCATCTGGGTTCTGCCCTGGTTTGGCCCAGATAGGCCCTGAAATCAGGGGAATGTGTCTTTTGCTCCTGGCCCGGAGTCCCATCTGCTGCTGGGAAGGCTGCCCTGTCTCCCATGATGGTGGCAAAGATGACATTAGACAGAGGATGAAAATCTCTTAGCACAAGGCCCAGCCAAATAGGGGCCCCAGCAATCCTCCCACCCGCCTGCCCATCTCCTTGGGACTGGAGGACTTTGGTCAAATAATTACAGAGCCATAGAGGACAGAGAAGAGGCTTAAAACACAGCCCCCGTTGCTTGGAGATTGACAGGTCATCGGCTGCACTCTTCCTGGGGAGGACACTGGGGAGACACTGGCATCCCCTGCCCAGCTCCTTTCCATTCTTTCCTCAAGGCAGGTGCATTGGTCTGTCCCCTTTAGTCCCAGAGGAACTTTCAGAGGCTGTGTATCAAGCAGGAGGCATCAGCCAGGGAAGGACACCTGGTCAGGCCGAGGACCAGGAACATTCCAGAGTGCCTGCAGGTCACCCGCATTTCCTCATGGCCACCTGGCTGTCGTGATGGAGGAAGCTCCAGCTACCCTGGTCAGTGGCCAGAGACGCTCTGCCACAGCCCCTGGGTGGCCCTTCCTGTCCCTGCTTCAGTTTCCCCATGTGGACAAGGAGGCTAGGTGATCTGATGGCCCCTGCAGCTCTCACCTCCAGGGATTCTAAAGAAGCTGGTGGCTGTTTATCTGGATTTTTACTTTTTTCAATAAATAACATGGTGGAGCTAACACCTTGATTTTTAGGGGGAAAAATAACTATTTCAAAACCCCAGGAGATGGTCAGGTAGGTTTCTTGTAATGATTAATGATCCCATTGGAGCAAAGCAAGTCATGAAGAGTTGAAGACATTTTTTTTCAATATGGCCTGTATGATTTTTTGTTCCTGTGTGGCTAGGTTTTTCCTGCTGTTTATTTTTCTTTTTAAAATCAACTGATCAAAAGACACAAAGAATTTTAAAACAGTGAATCTCTTGGAAGGAAAAAACCCTAGTAGGGATGGTGGGTCATCTGCAGGTTGCGCTGGGTAACTGGGGTGGTGTCACTTCATCCCTGCTCAACATGGCCTGGTGTGCTTGTGGGAGTCACCCATCATGACCTCCAGAGGTTGCACTGTCCTGCCAACCCAGTTTCAGCACCCAAAAGTCCCAGATCGGGGTGTAGCCCTCCCCTGGCACCCTGGGTTGGCAGAGTGCTGGGGAAGTTTGCAGGGGTAGCCCTCTGGGCATGGCGTGCTGGAAGCCGGGCATCCCAGGTGACATCCGCTCCTGAACCTGCTCGTCTCCAGCTCCGGTCTCTAAACCCAACCTGATGTCATAGATCTTGTAAGATGCTGTCATTGGAATCCATACCACATATCTTACATCTTTTTTCTTTTCTTTTCTTTTCCTCATTTTCTTTTGGTCTTATGTTATAGTTTTTGTTCCTTTTTTTGTTTTTCTCACTAGCATTCATTCTGTGGCCTTGACGACTCCAGTGAGCCAGGAACTCGGGTTGGTATGCTTTCCTTTTTACTCATAAAAATGACGATTTTCCAACAAAGGAGGACCCTTCCATCTCTGGCTGGAACAGTGCTGGAGAGAGGGGGCTCCTGGAAGGGGCCTTGTGATGGGTCCCACCCGGGATCTTCGAGTCCTGGTGACCCTGGGGTTCCTGCAGTCCCGCCGTGGCAGGGAGGTTGGGAAGGCATGCTGGGACTAGGAAAGCCCTAGTGGAGTTTCATCCACAGAGGGGTTTTGTTTTATTCCAAGGCCCTTTCCAGTCTGGCCTCACGTTCCGGTGCTCTCTGTGGCTCTTCTGTAGAGTGTGGAGCGAGTGGGCTTGCATGGTCAGGGGACTGCAGGAGCAGGCAGTTAATAAACCAGTGGCCCAAGAGGCCGGACTGTGACCTACCTGCCAAATGCCCAAGGAGCCCTGCCTCTCCCCCCTGAAGACCCTTGCCCCCTTGCCTGGTATGGATGTCTATCTGTGCTCAAGAACCACAAGCAAGAAGCCACCCCCGCAGCTGGTCCTGCCCTGATCACTGGGCACCTGTCACCCTGAGTCCCTCCTTTGACATCTGAGCCTTCCATATCTCCTGTTCTGAGTTTCCATTTTGGCCCTGGGGTCTGCCAGGGATCCTGGACTCTAGGGTTCTGCCCTGAATTCAGCCCAGGCTGAGGGACCCAAGCTCCAGGGGTACCCCTTGTGCCCACTAGAGGCCTGGACACCTGGGCTGAGCTCTGACAGCTGGCCCTACCTGCCATCCTMAGGGCAACATCCCCTGATGCTGACTGCTGCCCACAAGACTTAAGTCTGGTACATTTACCCTAGGGTCAGGGACAGAGCATAGCACATACTGGCTGTCCATTCAATGTGAATGGACAAAGGAATGCTCTCAGTTTGAGGCAGCTCACCTTGTCCACTAAGGAGAGGCACGGGTGGGGATGGAGGACAGGAGATTCAAATCCTGCTTGCTATGCCCCTAGATCATCAGGGAAGACCCCCTGGGGCTCTGCTGGAGAGCTCAAGATGGCACAGGGTAGGTGGGGGCAGATAAGTTAGGGACCATCCAGCCATTTGAACCTACATTCTTGTTTCACTTCAAATTATTTTTAATCTTACAGGATATAAAAAGAGTTTATGGAATGAGCTGAGTCCTGCGGCAGCCCCAACCCTACTCACACCAAAATTCAACAGCAAACAAGTTATTCAAAGCCCAGAGACTGAAAACAGAATTCACATGTGTTTGAAAACAGCTTTAAAGGGAGGCCTCTCAACGTGTGGCTGCGTCCCAGCTAGCCCAGGCTGAAAGGACTCTGTGGGACAATGGGATCATGTCAAACTCAGTCACAGCTGGGTCCCAATCATGGCACCTTCAGGAGCCTGAGGGGCAGAGACCTGGAAGCCAGGAAACCAAGTGCAATTAGCAGGAACTGAGGGGCTGGAGAGCCACTACACTGTCTGGGGACCAACTTGAGTCCCTGTCCCCACACTGTATGCCTCCCCCAGCTGTGGCGAATGTGCCCAGCTGGACCCAGATGCCCCCTCTGCCCAGTGTATATAAATCTCCATGAATCGTGCCGTGTTCATCACGGAGTCTTTCTGCCGGAGCTACTTGAAATGTCCCTGTGATTAGAACCCAAAGCCTGGCCCTGTCAGCAAAGCCCTCTGGCTCTGTGCACAGCTGGATGTAGCAGCTGGCAGAGAGAGAGAACTGGAGCCTCGCCCACCATGGAGAAGTGGACCCCAGGGACCGAGGATTTCCACTCTTGCAGGTGTGGCATGGCAGAAGTTCTAAAGAACAGCTCTCCCCAGGACCAGGTGGAGTAGGGACCAAGAGCAGCATGTCCACCCCAGGCCATGCTCGGACCTGTCTTGCTTCTTGATTTTAATTTGCAAGGGGCATGGAGGAAGAAAAAGCTGGCAGGTAGAGCAGCTCCAGCCACCCTGAGGACACAGGTGCCCCCCAGGTCTGAGGCTAAGCCACTCCCTCACTCTCCCCAGAGAAGAGTGAACGCCCCTCTCCAGGGAACCTGAATTGAGCAGAGAGGTGCCCGGTGGCCAGGTGGCTGTGTCTCCCTGAAGAAGGATGGCGGGCAACGTAGGGAGGCCCTGCCCTCTGGCAGAAGTTGAGACCTGGAGGAAGCTCTGGAGAAGTGCCTTGAGTGTTGTTCTAGGGTGGAGGGGGCACCTTGGAACACACCTGACCACGTGACCATCCTCCCCAAACTTGCAGAAGCAGGACACTTGCTTTTAGGTGAGGTGGCTGAAGAGGTGTGGAAGGGAAAGAGGACGGCCCCTCTGTGGGTAGGGTGGGATGCTGCCGGGTATGGCTGCACGGAAGCCATGCCAAAGGTGCCACCCTGAGATTTCCTGCAAGAAGAACCTTGGAGAAAAGGGAAATGACTGGAGTTACAGCTGCTGCAGGGCCCCTGGCAATGGGGACCTACAGGGGCCCTGGAGTTCTTGGTAGACCAGATCCAAGGATGAAGAAGGCAGGACCCATGCTGTGTACCCGAGGGGACCCAGCCAGATGGGAAGGGGCAGCCCCATCACATCAAATCCAAGAGTCGAGGGCTGGAGGCAAGCACCCGAGAACAGCTGAGAAGCACCCACTTTGTTGAAAACCAATCCTCAGAGCATCTGTGACTCACCATCGCTTGGTGACCAGGTGCCAAGGCACTGCTGGTACATTGGCTTGAAAATGGAGGCCAGGATGGGAGTGTGGGGTCAGCACGAGTGAAGACCAGAGGCCCTCCCTGCTCCAGCCGAGCAGAGGAAGGTCCCTGCACTGACTCTGGGGGCAGAGTGTGGAGCAGCCCCAGGTGGTCCTGGGGGTGCCGAGGCTCTCTGTTCCCACAGCACAGTGTCTGTCCAGCATCCCTACAGGACTGCGCTGGGATGTGGTCCTTGTGTCCTCTTATAGCTGGGCAGTATCTGTGACTGCTCAGCTATCTCACTCAGACAACAGGAGGCGAGTGGACTTGGCTTTGAACTCTGAGCCATGTGGTCACTCCCAGCCCCCACTTGCCTGCTGCAGACATTGGCCACGTTCTCACGGTTCTGAGGAACAGGGGTGGCAGTCCCACGCTGTGCCTCACAGAGGCTATCTGTGGCCATACTCAGACAGACTCCCAAGGATCCCTGGGATCCTGGACTCTCCTGGCAGGAGTGCAGCACCCACCACATCAACAGGAGCAGTGCTCCAAGGAGGCTCTACAGCCACCCATGGGGCCAGGGCCCATTCTCTGCAGCCCCCAGAGCCAGCTCAGGACCAGGGTATGAGGCCCACACAGGCAGCGGTGGGGACTGCCCTGCATGGGAGTCCCCAGTCCCTAGCAGAAGCCAGCATTTCTTGTTGCCTTCCCAGGCCCCTTCCAGGGACAGGCCCAGCCTGGGAACAGGAGCTGCAGTACTCAAGGATCCTCAGCGTGGCTGGCCACCAGGTGTGCACTCCACCTGCTCCACAGCCCTGGGGTGCTGAGTTGCAGCCTGGGTGGCTGACCCAGGTCACTTTCTCCTCCAGAGGAAGAAGGATGGCCCAACCCTGCCCCAGATCCACTGTGGACACAGAGAGTGGTCTCCGCCTCCCACCCTCTGTTGGCTGGTGCCATGGTGAGGACCTGGGGCAGAGAAGCCGTGGCCCTCAGAGCTGCATTCTGGCTTTTGGCAGCCTGTGGAGCTGGGAATGAAGCCCTGTCTGAGCCAGGAGACTGGCTATGAAGACTGAAATGCCAAGCTACATACAGGATCCAGGCCTCTGGTTCTAGGTGGGGACCGTCCCGAGGCTACAGGGCGTGTGTCTCTCATGCCCCTTGGCTCCGAGCTCCAGCTGGTCTACATGAGTTTTGCCATGGCGCACCTGCTGGGTGTTGGGGGAGGTACAGGAGGCGGGGCTGTACTCTGGGCGATTCCCACCCCACCTGGTCCACCCCATGGTCTTGCTGAGGCCTTGGGCTGGGCCTCTAAGGGGGGACCAGTGCAAGGCAGGGTCAAGTGCCCTGGGGAGCTGCATCCCTGCTCCCCCTCTCCTCCCTCTGCAGTGTCAAGATGCACATCTGCTTTCCTGCAGCTTCCCTAACCAGCTTGTCCCCAGGAGGAGTCACACCTGACCCTCCCAGTACAAATAACTCTGATTTTTGCTTATTTCTTACATTTAACGGGAGCCAGCTAGGGGTCTGGCACATTGGATGGGAAACCCCAACCCAGCCAGTTTAGGGGCTTCTTCAGCTAGGGGTCTGGCACACTGGATGGGAAACTTCAACCCAGCCAGTTTGGGGGCTTCTTCCGTCAGGTTATCTAAGAATTCTTGGGGACTTCTGCAGACCCCAACCCATGCCCTAGTGACCCACTCTGTGGTAGGTGGAGCCTCTCTTTCCCTCCCCACCTCTCCAGGGCTGCCTATCTTGGGGTCTCAGCCACAGCCTGTGTCCTTCCTGTGATCATTCTTAGCTGTGGGGAACCTCTCCAAGGCCCCCAAAGGTGGGGGCCCTCACAGCCTCTCCATGACCATCTGCTCCCCTCCCTTGGCTGCCCAGCACCTACCCTCAGAGAAGACAGGATCCATGGGCTCAGGCCTCCACCCTGTAGCCCAGCCGGGCGGTAAGCCACTTTCCTCTTCCATCTCCCCCAGCCCGCGTTTTCCTCTCCTGAGAGTCTTGGTTAGTCATCCAGGAAGAGCCCAAAGATGCTCCCTTGGGCCGAGGCCTCAGGCTTCAGCTGCCTGTGCCCTGTCCTCAGGGGGGGACTGTAGGGGAGGGCTCTCTCAGCTGCTCTCCACTGCCTTCAGCCTCTGCAGTGCTCCTATTGCAGGGGATCCTCCCAGCTGGGGCTCAGGGGCCAGGCACTCAGGGAACCCTCAATACAGCCCCAGGGATAGGGGCCTGAGGTCAGTTTCTTGTTCCAAGGGACTGAGTCAGGTGCCAGGATCCTGTGCTGAGCAGGTGGTGTGGCAAGCCAGGGCAGGGTGTCCCTGCCAGTGCCCAGCCAGTGTGGACCCCAGAGCGTGGAGGGCACTGCTGAATGTGTGAGGGGGCTTGTTCATTCCTCCATGGCGCATAGATGCCCCTCCCCTCCTTAGATAGTGTTTACCCCCCCTTGCAGGAGGCATTAATTTGTCCAGATCGTACCTGAGAGGTGACGAGATGGGGTTCCAAGCCAGGTGGCTGGCCCAGCCCAGCCCTAGGACCTGAGAGGCTCACTCGGCCCTCAAGGCCAGCCCCCACCCCTCCCCTTCTGCTCCACACCTGTGCACCCCTCGTGGCCACCCACATGTCACCTCTTCTGAGGACATGCCATCCAAAAAAATTTTAAAAAGCTTCTCCCAGCTCAGATGCCCTCTCAGCAAGGGGAGGAAAGAAAGAAAACAGCTTTATTGGAGGATGAGCATGAAGCCAGGGGTGATGTGCCTCCTGAGTGGCCCTGGGGACGCTGGAGGCAGAAAGCTTACCCATCCTGCGCTCTCATGGTGACCCATGGCTAGTCCTTAAGTCAGGTCGAAGGCACCTGCTACCCGGGATTCCTCCCACATTCTCCTGGTGACGGGGGACCTTTCTGTGTTCACCTCTGTCTCTGTGAGAGGAGGAGTTTTGATGACTCGGAGCCAGGGCCACAGGACCAGAGGGTGCTCTCCCTGGTGTTCAGGTCCACAGAGGTGGTTCTGGGGCCTGGAGAAAGACATTTTAGGGCCATAAAACGGCAAAAGGCCTCCATGGTCTCAGAAGGGTTCACATATGCACCCGGCCCTCAGGATCCAGCCCTTCCTCCTCTGTGGATTCGACCAATGGCAGACAAAGACTCTAGAAAAAACGTTGCTGTGGCCTGTGTGCCGAGCAGCGCGGGCCTTTCTGTTTCTTCATCCCCGGGCAACTCAGCGCAGCAGCTACGTGCCAGGGTCGGAGTCTCTGGAGGTGATTTAAGATCTGTGGAGGAGGTGCGCGGGTTCTACGCAAATCCTATGCTTTTCCTTAGAGGCCCTTGAGCATCCTGGGCTTTGGTGTTTGTGGGCATCCTGGGAGGCCAGACTTACCCCAGGCCAAAAAGAGTCCCAGAGGAGTCACCTGGCATGAAAAGCTTAAGGGGTGCACAAAGGAGAACTGGATTTCCACCTAGGGACGGCTTTGTTGCCATGAGATGAAGAAAACCTGATGAGTGTTCTAAAGTAAATGCTCAAGAAAAGGGAGGGAGAAGCCCCCTCCTAACATTACTGGGAGAATTAAGCTCTCAGTTTCTCACTGTCCTCACAGCGCTTGGCCTGCCTGGCCTCCTCCCACAGGGCTGGCTGCCCTGTTCCTGCCTCTGTAAACCTGAGGGCTGGATCCTCACCGTTTGTCAGGCCAGTCACCTCCCTAGCTCTGAATACCTCAGCACCCACCAGTGCCTCAGAGACACCAGAGTCCCCGAGCACCTGTCTACATACAGCCCCGAGCCACGCTTGAGTGCCCCTTGGCCAGCCACACCCAGCCACTTCATTCCCATGGGGCTGTGGCCTGAGGATGGCTCCCTGGGGACTCTGTCACCCCTGTGCTGGCAGCAGCTCATCATTCCTCCTGCATCTCTGAGCCTCGCTCCCTCTCCCACCTCTGGGCTCCCAAAGGGCCCCTCTGTTTTGCCCTGGGGTCCTGTCGCACCCATGCCTGTTGTAGCTCCCAGGCCAGTTTGGGAGTCAGACCTGCATCTGAGTCCTGATTCTGCCACATTCCAGCCCTCTGTGGGGCCTGGACAGCTCTTCCACCCTCCCAAGTCCCTCTTCCACCATCTGGAAAAGGGTCTTATTGATGCCACCCAGTAAGTCACCTAGCTGGTCACCAGCATTGTGCTGGTGAGGCAGAGAAGGACTCCCAGGCAGCATCAACTTCCTGTCCCTTTTGCCTAGCAGATTTCAAGTCCTTCATAAGTAGGGCACCGAGGGAGGGGGCTTCATCCATTCTGGGGTAAAGTCTTGAGCCTCACTGGCTACTGAGAATCTGTGACACTCTTGTGGTCCTACTAGGACATCTTACTTTTTGTGCTGGAGGTTGGGCATTTCATCCCAGGTGGTTTTTCGGACTCTGTTGCTCTGGTGAGTCTGGCTGGGGACATGTAAAGCGAGAGGCTTTCATTCATATTGGATGAGCTGGTGGAGAGAGACCCATCACTGTCTCATGAATAATCCACCTGTTCTTGCCCTCCTCAAAGGACACTTTCCTGAAGGATGTTTCCAAAGTCACTGAGCCACCTTGAACTCTCCATAAAGTCCACGTTGCAAACTCACTTAATATTATGAAATCTTGATCCGTGAAGTATTTATGGGATGGAGCCCACAGCTCAGGGACGAACTGAAAAGAGTTTCAGCTATGTCATCAGAGCTCCCAGCAGTGATGCGTTGGATGTCACGCACGTGGATGTGAAGATCGACACATGCTGGATATTCCGGGACCTGGAGGAGAGTGGTGAAGCACAGGGGTGCCTTCCAGAAGAAGTGGCCGGGACCCCAGAGGTGGACACGGGGATGCTCGGGAAGCAGCTGGAATCCTCAGAGCAGAAGCCTGTGGCAGCTGTGGACACGCACGTGATGTCGGAGTCCAGGCTGAGGAGCAGGTGGGTATGCATCGTGAGCTCTTATGTGTTTGGCGAATCCTGGGGCATGACAGGCGTGTCACCATGTCACATTGCACCATCTCTCCAGCTGAGGAGTGGTGCACACCCTAAGTGCACACCCTGCCTGTGTGGGCATCTGCCTCCCTCCTCCTGCCCTCCCTGTGCTCCACTCTGCAGCTGCATAGGTCCTGCCTTCTCACCTGGGCTTCCATCCCAGTCCAGCCAGGGAGAGGCGCCTCGAGGGAGTGAGCAAGAGGGGCTGCGGGATTTTCCTCTCTTCTGCTCCAGCTGCGGCTGCAACAGGTTCTCTGCTCCCTCTGTGGCCCCAACGCTGCTGGGGCCTGACTGGCTCCTGGGCCCCGATCCTTGCTCCCCAGCCCCAGGGGCAGATTGGCTCCAGAGCTGCCGACCTGGGCTGCCTGGCAAGGGTCCGGCCCTCTGTCTGTCCCTCATCTTTGCCTCAGGAACTCCACACGGGTTTCTCTCTGGCTGAGCTCCTTGGTGGGGTCCCTTTCCCTAAAGGGGCTGCCATGGCCCTGGGTGTGGACATTTGAAGCCAGGTCTTTCTCCAAAGCTCAGGCTTCTGATCACCCATTTCTTCTTCTGTCACGGGAAAAGACCTGTCTCTGAAGAAGAGTCCCAGGAGTTCCCAAAGGGGAGGGGATTCCACTCAGGACTGGGGGGCGCTTGGCATACGTGATGGACAAGAACTTCAGCACACACCAGGCTGGCGTGGACAGAGGTTTATTTGGGAAGCAGACACTCATTCAAGGAGAATGCGGGCTGTCTCCACAGTGAGAAGCCCCGTCTCGGGCGGGGGCCCTAGTGTCTGTGGAGGAGCCGTAGTCAGGGGCCCGACTGGAGGTGGGCCAGGGGAGGCTGCGGGGCTACAATTTTGTGCCACTGTAGCCTGTGTGTGCGTTTCCCTCAACCAGGGCGCAGGCCAAGGGCGCGTGGCTGCAGTTACAGCTGCTCCCCAGCCTTGCTGCATCTCCGTGGCTCATGGACGCTTCCTTTGAGACTCAGGATACGTTAGTTTCTTTCCCCTCCTTCTCTTCCCTTTCCTCCTTCCTTCCCTCCCTTCTACACTGGGGACGGAAGCCAGGGCCTCTCAAGCTAGGCAAGTGCTATGCTGAAGTGCTCCAGCCTCCTGAGGACTTCTGGACATCCGGCCAGCAGAATAAGGCCAAGCCTTCTCAGAAGGGAGCCCAGAGTAGACATGCAGTGCGCCTGTGGCCGGGTCCCTAACCAAGGCTGCCTGGTGCCTTGGCCTGTGGTGGTACTTCCACAGTTTTGTTTCTTGCCTTTGTTTCAAGTTATTAATTGTGTATTTAAATATAATTTACTGTTTTTCTTCTGGGTAAACCATTCAAACAAGCTGGACATGGTGGCGCATACCTCTAATTCCAGCTACTGGGGAGGCTGAGGCAGGAGGATTGCAAGTTTGAGGACATCCTGGACAACTTATCAAAACCCTAACTCAAAATAAACAATAAAAAAGGCCTGGGGGTGTAGCTCAATGGTAGAGCACCCCTAGGCTCAATTCCCAGTGCTTCAAAACACAAAGCCAAAAAATGTTTCACATGAAGACATTCACAAATGTTCCCCATGTAATCGCCCGTTCACTGCCACCCTGCAGCCTGAAGAACTGGAGGCAGGTGGTCAGCTGGGTCAGTTTTCTTGGGCTACTGTAACAAAGCACTGCAGGCTGGGGGCTTAGAAAATGATTTCCCCACATTTCCGGAAGCAGCAGTGTGAGGTCAAGGGCTGCTTCTTCCTGCAGCCTCTCTCCTGGGCTTGCAGGTGTCCCTCTGTGTCTCAATCTCTTTTGATAAGAACATAGTCAGATTGGATTTGATGACTCCACTCTACAACTTCCTTTTAACTTAATTATGGTGGTACAGGCTCTGTCCCCAAATACTGTGGCATTCTGAGGTCCTGGGAGTTAGGACTTTGAAAGGTGAATTTTGAGGAAGACATAACGTCACTCATAACTCTGGTCCTGGGGTTGAGCCCTGGGGAAGACAGGGTGCTGGCCAGAGGCCCTGTCAGTGTAGCCCACGTGAGCTGCATTCACATCTTGGAGTCACCCACCAGAGGAGGATGGACACAGTTCCTCCACATGAGGGGGAGAGCATGAGAGCCCCAGGGACATTGTGGGTGTGGGAGAGGAGAGGCCTCAGCAGCTGGGCCTGGGATGAGGCCATCCTGGAGAGGGTGTCCTTGACCGTCCCATGGGGGAGAGGGGCTTGTGTCCTCTGGTCTCTTTAAGGACAGGGTGCCCATCTTGCAGAAGAGGGGCAGAGGTACAAAGGCTGGGTGTGTGGCAGGGGTGAGGAGCAACAGCCCTTGCTCTCCCTCCAGGGACCCTCTTGGCCTCCTGGGCTGCAGGTGCCTGGAAGGTATCATCTCCCTCTTTGAATGGAAAAACTGGGGCTGAGGGGACGAAGCTCATCATCCATGGTTTGAAGCATGATTCCAAACTCAGATTTCAGGCCAAATACCTTAGAGGTGTAGTCTAGCTGGGATCAGCAAATAGTTGGCAGCATGCATTGGATTCATTTCCACAAAATAGGATCTTAAAGTCTTTATAATAACACAACAGCACTGTTGGAAATTTGAGAAAGAAATCTCTCCTCTGTCTTCATGGCGTGAGCACTTTTGTGTAATTGTTTCCAATCTAGATGCCAAGCATGAAGGACAGTGAGGACCTTATTGAGCTCTGGCTTGACATCAGCCACTGTCCGTCCTAGGCAGGATGAGCCTGGCCAATCCTTAGGACAGTACTGAAAATGAGGCCCTGGTGTTGTTCTCATCCATAGACGGGGAAACCGCAGCTGGTGAGTCAGGTAACTTACCCCAGGCCACTCCCAGCCATGCAGGGTGGTGGGACTTAGCCAGGCAGTCAGGATGTCCCCTTGGCTGCGATGGGCCAGTGCATTCTGCTGCGTGACAGAACCTTCTAGTTTCATTGCATTCTTCGCAGCACTGTCTACCAATATTTTTAAAAACTTGTTGGTGTAACCAGTGAAAAACATGCCATTGTCCATTTCTTTCATGCCTGAAAACATGAATTTACTGGCCTAGACTCTATATTGCTGTGTGACCTTGACCTTGAACAAGCTACCTTGTAAGTGTCCTATGGCTGCCATAACAAATGACTATAAACTCGGTAGCTTAAGACAGCACATACTGATTGTCCTTCAGTTCTGGAGGTGAGAAGCTGGAAATGAGCTCAGGTGCATCAAGCTAGGGTGCCAGCAGGGCCCTGCTCCCCCAGAGGCTGTGGGGAAACGGCTCCTTCCTTGCTCATCTTCAAGCCCCCAGTGTAGCTTCTGTGGCACAGCTTCTGTGGTCATCTAGCTTTCTTCCCTGAAGCCCACTCTCCCCGTGCCTCCCTCTGACAAGGACATAGTCAGGGCCACCTGGATAACCAGGGAGGCTCTCCTGTCTCACATGTGTGCCTTGGCCTAATGGCACCTGCAGCCTCTTTTGCACTTCAAGGGTTTTGTCTTGGGTCCCAGGGACCAGGCTTGGGTGAATCTGGGGCTGAGTCATCCTGCCTCAGGGAGACCATCTTCTTCTGCTTGGTTTAGGAATAGGGAGAGGGTCAGAATGCAACATTCTCACGTTTCATGGGGCAGGCTGCCTTTTCTTTCCCCCTCAGCACTCACTGCCTTTCATTAGCAATCAGAAGGCACCAGCCTGACCCTGACTGATTAACTGTGGGCGGGGGGGGGGGGGCATTCAGGCCAAAAGGGCCTTGACTATAATCTTCTCCTTAAGGCCCAAGTGCTGGAGTAGGAGAGGAGACACTTGGACTTATTGTTAATAATGCATCATTTTATTAAACCTTCCAGCAACCATGTGAGCAGGATAGAATTACCTCTATTTCAAAGATAAAGTAGGGTCGTGGTGGTGAACACACCCAGTTCAGGGCTGCTGAATGGCAGAACCAGGAGGCAGGGCTGGTCTTCACCCCAGGGAGCAGAGTCTTTCCTGGATGAGGTCAGCAGTGTGAACTCGGTAACGGAGCGAGGATGCAGAGCTTGCTGGTGGAGGCCTCCGTGTGCATGGAGGTTTTCTATCCTAGAAGCCTCTGGCCTCTGCAGTGCCTCTGACAGGAGCGGCCCCCACTGTGGGCCTCACTGCGGGCCCAGGAGCAGCAGCGGGCACTGCAGGGGGAGCTGGTCAGCCAGATGACTTTCCCTTTCTCTTTCTCTTCAATGTTCTCCCCATCCTGCGGGCATCTCCTTCTACAGACCTGGGGTCAGGCTCACACCCAGGCCCGGTGCTGCTTTGCTGGTGACACAGCCTCCGGATGACCTAAAGCCACTGCATGGCTCAGCTGCTCCTGTTGGTTAAGCTGCTTCCTGCTTCTCACTTAGAAGTGGACATTATACAGAGATGGATTTTCTTTTATTCCAGAGCTTTTTCTGAATGTCGATCGTTCCCTAGAAAGACTCATGAGAACGTGGCTTGGATGCAAGCAACACAGCACAGGCCTGAAAGCATGAATTTACTAGACGGCCTAGACTCTATAATGCTGTGTGACCTTAAACAAGCTACCTGATCCCTCTGAGCCTCAGTTTCCCCATGTGTGAAGTCAGGGGAACATTATCCCCTTCAGGCTGTTCATGTTGGGAGGATGAATTGAAGCCACCCAGATAAACTCCGGTCAGTCACTTTTGGTATCTCCCCAGTATGGGGTGAGAGTCCTGATGGAGGGTACTTCACTATTCAAATGATGTCTTTCAAGTATTGTAGGTAGTCCTAAACAAGGTGTGTATGAAAGATTTAAATGTGTAATTTTGTTAGAACATCAAATTGGCCAATGACAAGGAAACTAAGGTGTCTGTGGAGACTTAGGCTGAGCTGCTCCACGCTGAGCGGGTACCTCCTGCTTCCAATGCCACAGGATTCAGGCACTGGAGGTGTCACAGAGGGAGCTGCTCTGGGAGGTGGACCGGCTGCGTGCCTGCGTGGTCCAGGAAAGAAGCACCTCACTGTGGGCCCAGGAGCAGCTGCGGGCACTGCAGGAGGAGCTGGTCAGCCAGGTGAGTTTCTCTTCCTCTTTCTGATGCTTGTTCCAGCCAAGCCGAGGGAATGCAGGGCTGCTACAGTTGGAAATACCAACAAGCATGTGTGTGCAAGGGGTGTGTTGTTCTGCATATTTTTTTGATTCATACCAATGTGAATGTATCAAGGGCAGGTGAACCAGGTGTTCTCAGTGAGAAGCCATCAGGAAAGTGGAGAGGCACTGGTGCAGCCACTAACAGAGCTAAGTGGGGGTGGGAAGGTAAGGAGTCTTCTAAGCACACTGGGTCCTCGAAGAGCCAGGGAGACCTCTGCCCAGAGGAGGGTTGCCCTGCACTCTGGTCCTCAGGGGCAGAGTGGAGCCTCTTCTCCCTGGTTCAGAACACCAGCCCAGGGGAGTTTCTACTGTAAGGGACAGGAAAGTTGTGGGGGACCCCACCAGCTGGGGTGTGATTTCTCTCTGAAAAGTACTATAATGGGGTCTTTGAGCTATGCCCCCTGGACATTAGGACCCCTGGCATAGCCCTGTAGTCCAGATGTGCACAGTGTGATGAGTGACAGAGGCCCGTGGGGAGCAAGATTGGAGGAGCCCATGGTTTCCCCAGGAGGATGCTAAGCCCTTTCCCACCATGTCCTTTATTTACTGCTATCTCATGTGGTATGCATGTGCCGAGGACAGACCTGTCACAAAACTCCATGTCCAGATGAGAGGCAGAAGTTCAGGGCGATTCCCAGGAATCATTTGCATACAAAGAGGCCTCATTTCCGTGGTGACCTGCAGTCACTCTGAAGTTGTCAAAGGCTCACCCACTCAGGCCATGGAGCCCTGTCCACGCAACACCAGGCAACCCTGATTACAGAATTCCCACCCTCAGGAACTCCAGTTTTTACGTAGCCTCTCACCCCTGTCCCAGGTGTTCTCTTCCCGTTTCCATCTTCTGGCTTAGGCTGCCAGCTCTTCCACCCCTTTGCTTGGATTCATTCTTGAAATCAGGAAAGGACTCTCAGTATGCAAGGTGGCTGCACCCCAGTCCATCTCGCAGCATTGGGTGTGGCAGAGGGGAGGTGCAAGGACAGACAGGCATGTTCTCTGGACAAGCAGGAGATGAACTAGAGAAGGAGAAGAACTAGAGTCAGGTAGGAGGCTGACGGTGTGTTCCAGGCCTGGCTGCTACATCTTAGCTGTGTGATATTAAGCAAATCAATCTGAGTGTCCCATGGGGCTAGTGACAGTCCCACTAGGTGAGCATTTACAACAAGGAACAGTAGCTGTGGCATGGTGGTTTGGGGCCAGATGACCCTGGCTGGACCAGGCATGGGCCAGTTTGGGTGTTGGGAGATGGGGAGCTCAGGGTGGTTCTGGGGTAGAAGTGTGGACACCCAAGTGCTCTGGCAACAGCTGTTTGCAAGGTGCTGTGGGGGTGTCCCCCCCGGAACAGTTCCAGCTGAACAGTTTTAGCCTCCCTCCAGAGGCACCTGCCCCTCTAGCCCACTGCGCTTCTCTTGGAATGACTTGGGGAGCTCTTAGGGGTGCAGGACCCAGATTAGGATGGCGTGCACTTGACCAAAAAAATTCAGTAATCCAGATAATATTTTGAAGCATTATTTTAATGCAAGGAATTAATGCGAAAACAAAAAAGAAGAACACTTCATTGTGCATAAAATATGGAAAATCCTTGCCCAGGCAGGATCAAGGGTGAGCAATGGTGATCTTGGGGCTTCCTGACGCCTCATCATCGCCAACTTATAGGTCCGGCAAGAGGAGAGTGTGGCTTGGCGGCAGCGGCAGCAGCTGCGAAGGCTGAGGGGGCAGCTGCGGCGCAGGGATGAGGCGCTAGGGCTGCAGGCTGTGGCCCTGGAGCATTGCCGGAGGATCCAGCGGTGCCAACTGGGTCTGGTGCGGGATCAGGAGCGCGTCCTGCGGGCGCAGGTGCAGCGGTTGGAGAGGGATGTGAGGCACCTCTGTCGCGCCGCGGGCCTCCTGCTGGCTCAGCGGGGCACTGAGGCCCCCGCGCCAGTCTCGGGCAAGCCCAGGCTGCAGGTCCCTGCCAATCCCCGCGAAGCCCCGGAGGCAGCCGCGGAGCTGTGCGCCCTGCAGCAGAGGGCAGAGCTCAGCGAGCGTGAGCAGGAAGAGGCGGTGCGTCGGCTGCGGGAACAGCGCGCCACCGAGCGCGTGCTCCGCGGGCAGCTGGAGGAGCTGCGCTGCTGCATCTACGGGCTGCAGCTGTCCGAGATTGGCCTGCAGGGCCAGGTGGAGGAGCTCGCCCAGCAAAACCAGAGCCTGCGGGAGGAGCTGGGAGCCCAGGCCCCCGCTGGTGGCTGTAGCCTGGTAAGTGGGCACAACGCAGGGCTGGACTGATTGTTCTATTTCCTCAGACTTTCCCGTGCAGGCACTAGGTCAAGGCACTGACCCATTCATTCCCCCGTGTCCACTGTACACACCTGTCCAAACCAGTCAGCCCGGCTGTCCATCTACCCTTCACTCTTTCCATTCACTTACTTGCCTCCACCCACAGACCTCACCCACCCATCCATCACCACTTTTGCCTCACCACCCACCTGTGTGCCTGCTTGTTTCTCTGTCACCATCCACCCACTCTGCCCCGTGGTCATTCATCCTGCACCATCTTCCCGACTGTCCTGCCTCTGCCTAGCTATCCTTCCACCCATCCACACAGCTGCCCACCCACTCACTGGCCAGTCACTGGTTTATGCATTGAGCTGCTGTGGGGAGACACCATGGGCAGGTGGCTGATAGGTGTTACCCAGAACAAGGACTCCTCAGTTCTGGAGGCTGGGGAGAGCAAGGTCCAGGTGCCATAGTTTCAGCGTCAGGTTCCTGGTCCAGAGATGGCATCTTCCACACATCCTCACATGGTGGGAGGGGTGTGGCTCTCTGGGGTCTCCGTGACCTAATTGCCTCCCAGCACCATCCATCAACGTGGTGATCTCAACATTCGACTTTTGGAGTGAAACCATCTTCAGGCCCCAGCAGCATCCCCCTGAGTGTCCACCGTGCACCATCATTTCCATGTTCTCTCGCCACCTTCTTGTCCATCTGTCCACTCATCCAGCTGCTTGCCAGGCCAGTGGCCTGCCATTCTGCACCCCTCTTGGTCTCTTCCCCCATCCATTCACCTATTCTTCCAGCATTTAATAGGTCCGTGCTGTGTGAGGCCCCGTGCACGAAGAGGTCCCCGCCATGTAGCACTGTGTCACTCTCATGTGCTCTTAGTCTCTTCTGACCCAGCCCTTCCCCCCAAGCCAATCACCCCTCCTTCTTTTATTCCAGAATCAAGGTGACAATGGTTCCTGGTGGCAGCTCTGTATGAACATTCCTTTTCCCCTTCCTAGACTGTGAGCTCCTCGAGGGCAGAGTCCGGGTTTGCTGGTCTTTGTGACCCCCAGACCCCAGCAACAGCAAGCAGGAGGCCCCGGGACAAAGCACATGGGGTTGGGTCTCTTTTCAGTTCTCCTGACTCGCTGTGCAACCTTGGGCAAGCTTCTTAAGCTCAGGAGGGCAGGCTGGACACTTATTTATTCATTTGAGTGACGGAAAAATGAACACATACCTTCCATGTCCTTCTGGGCTGCGACAACCGCTGGGCATTCTCAAAGGCACTCCTTTCTTTCCTGCTCAGGAGAATGGGGCAGGACATCTTAGGATCCTTGTTCTGAGAATGAGGAAGCCCAGGCTCAGAGAAGTAGCATCTGTCTCACCTGTTGCCATGCAGCTACTAAGGGATAGAACTGGAATTGGATCCAAATCTGACTGAGCTCAAAGTGCATGGCTCCTCCTGCACCAGCCGCCTCCCTGGGGAGGAAGCCTTAGCTCTGCTCCCTCAAAAGGTCTGGCCCCCTTCTCCAGCGGGTCAGTGTGCACAACCTTAGCTCTAGGAGGGTTGCTCATTAAAAAACCAAATGTATCTTCACGGGAACCTGAAATTCTCTGCGTTTCTTCTGGATGGTGACGTGTGCCTTGCCCAGATCACTTGTCATGCTGTGGTCTGCGGTCATAGTCTGCCTTCTCCGCACTTCATCTTCCTCTTGTCCCTCATGTACATTTCCTGCTCATTCTTCCCTGTTATGCTTATCAGATGAAAGAAAAAGTGTGCATTTAACATTGGACCTGGCTGTTTGGAAAATAAATCATGCAAAGATGGAAATTGTCATTTAGAATCTTTCTGTAATTTTCATGACTTAGGCATTGGCTTATGTCCTTACTCCCCCTCCCTCCATTCATCCTGTACACAGTGTCTTGCTGTTTCTTCCAAGTAGTTCATTGAGAGAAAGTGGTACCTGAATACTTAGCAGGTATCTGTTCATGATTTGTCMGTTTGGGGGTCTCTCCTTTAATCTTGAGCAGGGCTTTGTGGGCCAGGGGCTTTCCCCCACTACCTAGAGGGAGAAATAGGCCTGGGGTGGGTAAGTGACTTGGCCACAGGCTCCAGCAACTAAGCCTCATGGTCAGCAGGGAGCAGGGCCAGCCCAGAGCGAGACTCCAGCTGCTGCCAGAGCTTGTCCACGAGGGGCCTTGAGAGAGCCTCACTGGCTAGACTGGCTCAGTTCTTGCCATCCTCTCACAAGCCCCTTGCCAGCATGATCTTCTCCACGTTCCACACTTTCTCTTTGGAATGTCCTGATGCCCCAGGGGGCTGCACTGGAAGCTGGGTGCAAAGTCCAGAGTCTCTTGAAAATTCCCTGAGCTGCCCCTAAGGTGCAGCCAGCCAGGCCTGTGTGTGCACTGCAAAAGCCTGTCACCAGCCGAACAGCAGAGGGAGCAGGGCTGCCCGGTGGGAGCCCCTGGAAATCAAGCACTGCAGTGAGCGAGATGCCCCTGAGGGATGCCCCTGAGGCAGGTGGGAACCCCAGAGGAGGGGCAGTGGGGATTCAGTGCAGCCGTGGCTCCTGGGGCCAGTTTCCAAGCTTCCTGGCCTCAGTTCTCCTAGTGAGTGGGTCAGATGCCACATTCCCTGGAGTGGTGCTCAGGTTGCATCCGGGAGGGTCAGGGAAAGCTCTTAGCCGAGTGCCCAGCACACAGCGAGTGATCTGTCCAGTTTCGGCACCCATCGTCCACGCCATCTCAGCCCGCCTCCGCCTGGCTGGTGTTCCCCTGCGGGCTGCGGGCTGGGACCACCTGACTGCCTACCTTGCGGAACTCTTGGCTTTTATTTGCTTTCCCCGAGGGTTGTTCCTTGACAGGAGGTTTCTGCTGGAGGCTGGTGGAAGAGCAGGTGACAGGCCCTGGGGAGCACGGGCCTCTGGCCACCAGCTCCCACATCACAGCAGCCTGTGCATGGACGAAGGGACAGAGAAAGCAGCTGTGGCTTTCATGGAAGAGCCACCTGGTTGTTGGAGCTGGGAGGTCAGACAGCGAGGGTACTGGCCACCTGTCCCTCACTTCATCCTCAGGTGCCTCTGCCAGGCAGGGGTTCCCAGGCCCTCTTCACAGACAGGTCCTGCCCACACTGACTCGGCTGAGGGGCGAGGGCCTGGGTTTAATTCCAGTCCCTGCCTTTCCCTTCGCATCCACCAGCCTCCCCACGGGGGCTTTTCCCAGGGCAGCTTTTCCTGCTCCTGTGACTGAGAACAGCCCTCCGCACGGGTGGGGGTGGCTCTGGCTACAGGTCTGGCTTACAAGACCACTGGGAGGAAGAGAAGCAGGAGGAAGGCCTGGGACAGCAGAGCATGGCCAGGAGGCCAGCAAGAGGCCCCAGAGGGCCCCGGGGCAGGCGAGGCACCCCTGCCGGGTGGGGCTGCTGCTACAGGTGGGGATTAGGTCACTGGGCTCCCCTGGGAAACCGGCAAGGCCCAGCGTGTCAGCTTCCAGGGGCTGCCATTACAGAGCTCCTCAGGTGGCTGGAGCAACAGGCCTTCATCTGCTCGCAGTTCTGGACAAATCAGGGTGGCAACAGGGCTGTGCTCCCTCCCAAGGCTCAGGACACAGTCTGCTCCTCATGACCTCTCTCCTGGGGGCACGTGGGCACCCTTCAGCCCAGATCGTCCCTGCAGGCTCTGCTCTGTGTTCCCACAGCCCGTCCCCCTGCGTCTGTCTTCTCATGTCTCTTAAGGAACAGTCCCCGTTAGGTCAGGGTCCAGCCTACTCCAGTGTCACTCCACCTTAACCTGATGACATCTGGTGGCGCACACCTGTAATCCCAGCGGCTCGGGAGGCTGAGGCAGGAGGATCATGAGTTCAAAGCCAGCCTCAGCAACAATGAGTCACTAAGCAACTCAGTGAGGCCCTGTCTCTAAATAAAGTATAAAGAGGGCTGGGGATGTGGCTCAGTGGTTAAGCACCCTTGGGTTCAATCCCTGGTACCAACAAAAACAAAAAAACAAAACCCCAAAACCCAATAAGGTCGCTTTCGTAGGCAGAGGGATAGGACTTCACTCTAGTGCTATTCCATCACTGTGTGGCCGGTGATGACTCTGGTTTCCTGCCCTCCTCCTTCTGACCCAGGTGCCTCTCTATCCCCCATGGTCCTCATGCCCACACTGCCATGCTGGACAGGGTGCCAGGGTATTTGCCAAGTGAGCCACTGAGCAGCGTGGGTGGTTGGGCGGGGCGCTCCTTTGCCCCCAAACCCTTTCTCCCAGGGCAGGCGCTGCCCTGTGTTCCTGTTAGTCCGCAGAGCGAGCTCCGACCTGGCACAGGAAGGGGCCAGGAATAATCACTAAGAGCAAGGCAGGAGGAAGGAAGAGGCTCAGCCCTGCTCAGTCCTGTGGCTGAAAACAGATCTGGCCTCTCTGGGCTTATTTACCAGAGTGTCATTTGGCCACCTGTCTGCTCTGTGGGTTTCTGCTGGATGACACAGTTGGCACTGGCTGTCTCCCTGTGATGTTGGCAGAGAGTCCTTTGAAGATGGGCACAGGCAGAGTGAKAGGTGGGTCACGTTCAGCATCAGAAGTGGTTGGGCCATCCAGGATTCCAAAGTCTAGCTCTCCAAAACAGTGGCCCATGACAAATGACAGCAGGAGAGTTCCAGTTGGCCCAGGGCTCGCCTGGCTGTCTGTGTTGATCTGTTTTGTCATGGCTTCAGTGACGTTTCCTGGAGTGCTTGTCTCACTTCTGGAGGAGGTGGCTCTCATGTCCCTTGCTGATGAGAGGACACAGCCTGAGGTGGCCAACTTCTTGCTACAGCCAGGTGATGACAGGTCCCAAGTGCCTCTGCCTGGTGGGGCTCTGTTGGCAGAGGCCAAGTGGACCCAGGCTGGGTCCTGTAGCCTTCCGGCCTTGGGGTGACAAGTCATCTCACCTCTTGGTCCTGATTACCTCGAGGACAGAAAGATCTCAGACGTGTCACTCAGAGTAGCAGGCATGAGCTT